CGGAGGCCCACCGGGGCTTGGGGCGGGGATGTTGGGGGAGAGGAGGAAGATAAAAAGGGCATTGAGATAAGGGAACAGTCATTATTTGGCCAGTCATCTTTTCCAGAAAGTCCCGCCACCCGCCCCTTTCCTGCTCCTGTTATCACTAGCCCGTGGCTGGCCAGCCAGGCTGGGCTCCTCGGCTGAAATCCTTCAGAGCTTTCCTGTTCTAGAGGTTTGCAAGAAGATGGGAGGAGTGTTTGTATGCTGGGCAGGCTTCCCAGGGGTGATTGTGGAAAGGAAGGGGAGTGATTTGGTAGGCCCTAAAAAGAAGCCAGGAAGAAGAGGAAAAACAAAACCCCAGTTTTAAAAGAAAACAAATTGACTCAGGCATTTTCTGGCATTATCTTCAGTCTAGACTTGGAGATAGAAGCCCAGGCCAGAAGTCTGGAAACGTCCATTTGCTTCTTGCCCTGTAACTGACCTTCCCAATGACCTCAGTCATTCCAGCCAGGTAACAAAACCAGCCTCTCACCGCTCCGTTTAAGGTTTTCCTCTCTCTTTACCATTCCTCCCTTCCCTCTCGAAGGAGGTACCCACACATCCTCTGAGCGGTTTGTGCAAATGGATGGATTTGTTTGCACACCCTTATCTCATTCATCTTCTGCAGCCTGGGGAGACTGGCAGGCAGGCCAGGGCGTGGCCTTCCCACTTGATAGTGTGGAACCGGCACTGGCACTGGGAGAGGCCGTCCAGTCTCCCAGCTGCCGGGTGGCAGAGCTGGACCGGATCCTGGGTCTCCTGACTCCTGCCATGGCAGGAGGTCCAGTCACCGTTTGTGTCTGGATTTCAGACCGCTTGTGTCTTTTCATCCCAAACCTTGCGAACTTGCTGTTCTGTTTTGCTGACTTTCCCATTGACTTGCTATGATTACGAGGGAAAGCCCTGAGCAGAAATAGGGAACTGAAGGTAGGAAGGAGAGAATGCTCTTACTTAGTATACTTTTGTTAACAGAAAAAAAAAAAAAAAAAAATTGAAAGCTGTAAAGAATTTTTGTGAGTTTATTTGAGCCAAACTGTCGACGTAAGCCAGGAAGCAGAACCTCAATGAATTGAGATAATGCTCCGGAGAATGGTGGGTTACATCTGTATTTGCCATCATAGGAAAGGGATGTAGGTGGGTTACATGAAATCCATTGGTGATAGACTAGAGAGGCGGGAGAAAGCAAATGGGGGGGGGGGGGTCAGGTAAGGGGCGTGAAGCCCCTGGGATTGGATAAAAAAGTGACATGATGGACACATACTTAGGCGGGTGCAGGAACAATTAACAGGATAATGAAGGAATCTGTGGTCTCTGTCCTGGCGCCCAGCACATTAGGCTGTGTCCCAAGGGCTCCAGAAAAAGGGACATTACAAGTTACCCAGATTTTTCAAAGGGTATATTATCATATATGCAAAAAAGACAGACAAGCTCCATTAATTGACCTTGTCAGTGAAGACAGTGGCCTAGGATATAACTGCTTTTAGTTAAAGTTTTCACTGCAGACCATCCTTCCTGGTTACTTCAGGTCTCTTGAGTTTGCAAAATGGCCGTGCAGGCCGCCCCTGAGCTTGTCAGGTTAGCGTGTGGCCCCTTTTGTCCTCACTTTAGTAAGGACTTGGTGTTCATTGAGTGTTCAGTTTCCTCTTCAAAAAGGAAATAAGCACTAAGGGTTGGATGTCTTTAATTAGACTATTGTTGAGCTCTTGCATACACTTAACACTTCATACTTGGCAGAGGGCCTTTGTACGTGTATGTTTTCTAAATTCACATACCATGTGTCACCCACTTAAAGGGTACAAGTCAGTGTGTTTTAGTATATTCACAGGGTTGTGTGGCCACGACCACCATCTAATTTTAGAACATTATTACCGTCCCCAAAAGAAATCTCACACTCACAAGCAATCACTTCCCACTCCCTATCCTTACCCCAGCCCTAGGCAATCATTCATCTGGTTTTCCGACTCTACGTTTGTCAATTCTGGACATTTTATATAAATGAACTCTAGCTTCTTTTTACTTAGCATAATGTTTGCAAGGTTTATACATGTTATAACATGTACTCAGACTTTGTTCTTTTTACTGGTAGATAACGTTCCGTTTTACAAATATGCCACATTGTGTTTGTTTATTGATCAGTCTATAGGCGTTTGGGTAGTTTCTACTTCTGGCTGTTATCCTATATAATAAAAAAGTAATATGCAAACTGACCCTAACAGTGGAACAACCTGGAATGACTGGTCACTATGACGTGCAATGACCACCAGGGGGCATATGCTCAATGCCGGAGCTGACCCCTGATGGTCAGTGCGCTTCACAGGGGGAGCTCTGCTCAGCCACAAGCCAGGCTGATGGCTGAGAGTACAGGGGCAGTGGCAGGGGACTCTCCTGACTCCTTGCAGCGCTAAGGATGTCCGATTGAGGCTTAGGAGCCATCCTGGGACATCCCCCGAGGGCTCCTGGGCTGCCAGAGAGATGTCTAACTGCTCCCCAGGGGATAGGGCTTAAGCCAGCAGGTGGATATCCCCCGAGGGGTCCCGGAGTATGAGAGGGCGCAGGCCAGGATAAGGGACACAAACTTCCCCAACCCCTCCATCCCCCCGCCAAGTGTACGAATTTTCATGCACCAGATTTCTAGTTATGAATAACACTGTTGGGAACTTTCGTGTACAAGTTCTTGTGTGGACATACGTGTTCATTCTCCTGGGTATATCCCTATGAGTGGAATTGCTGGGTCATATGGTAACTCTGTGTTTAACCTTTTGAGGGTCTGTGTTTAACCTTTTGAGGGTCTGGTTAACCTTTTGAGGGTCAAACCGTGGGTCTGTGTTTATAAATTTACTGAGATCTGTTTCCCACAAAATTCACCCACCTAAAGTGCACAGTTCAGTGGTGTAATATATTCACAAGGTTGTGCAGCCACCACTACATTGAATTTTAGAAAATGTTCATCTCCCCAAGGAGAAACACATGCTCATGGCAATCACTATCCATTCCCACCCCCAGGCAACCACTAGCCTACTCTCTCTATGGATTTGCCAATTCAGGACATTTCATGTAAATGGAACCCCACAACCGTAGTCTCATCACTGGTTTCTTTGACTTAGCAGCGTGTTTTGAAGATCTGTCCATGTGGCAGCAGGTATCAGTATTCCATTTATTTCTGCAGCTGACCCATGTTCCGTCGTGTGGACATATTGCATTTTGTTTGTCCAGTCTCTGCTTCCGTCATTACGTGGCATTCCACTCTGTGTGTCTCTGTATCTCTGTTTTCTCTTCCTGCAAAGACACCAGACATTGGGGTCAGGGCCCACCCTAATCCAGGATGACCTCATCTAAACTAGTTACATCTTGAAGACCCTATTTTCCAATGAGATCACTTTCTGAGATTCCAGCTAGACCGGAGTTTGTTCATCCTGGCGCCATGGCTCCTTGTCCCCTGGCCCGAGCCCTCTCTCCTCGGCCATTAGGGAGTTCATCCTGCAAATCGCATGGCGTACGGAGGCCACTGAGTCTGTGAACACATGTCCAGTTCACTGCGAGGCCTGTATGAGATCTCACTTTGCAGGTCAGTTCAGCTGTCGCTGGAACCGTTTCTCCCCAGGGCCCAGGGCTTTTTCTCCTGTGCACGGGCAGAGGCTGCCCTGCCTACTGTCAGGGACCGCGGGAGGGTTTTAGCTGCAGAGCTGGAGGAGCCTGTGAGCCTGCCTGAGGCCTTGCAGAGGGTGCAGACTGAGGTAGGTCCGATAGCCGGGAGTGGGAGCAGAACTGTGCCCCCTCTGAAATGATGTGAATGGGCCCCAGAAAGCCACTGTCACCACCCCTAAACCACTCTCCCCACTAGCTGTCACGTCGCCAGAAATTACACCGTTAAACCTTCATTTCTTTTGCACAAGGTGTTTCACTGTTAGGGAACTATTATACGCCGAGTGAGTATGTTTGCCTCTTCTGCAAACACAGACAGAACTTTCTGTGTGCCTGCCTTTATTAGGTAAATGCGGAGACTGTAAAGACATCAATCACTGTTCTTAGAAACCCGTGGGCGAGGCACGGAAGCGCGGTGACAGTGGACACAGCGAGGCGTGGGCCAAGTGCTCCCGGCTCCCAGCACAATGGCCAAGTCCGGGAAGGTTTCAGAGAGAGTGCGATATCCATGCGGGGTCTGGCGTCCGCATGGGAGTGCCAGGGAGTGGGAGTGAGATCCAGGTGGGAGGGACGCATCAGCGGAAACAGAGAAGCGTGAAAGGGGAGGGGGTGTTCAGGGACCGATGAGGCTTCCACCTGCCTTGCATAGGGGAGGAGAAAAGCAGGAAATAGGTCAGACTGGGAACGGCCTTGTATGTTATGCTAAGAGCCAGTCAGATAAATCATGCCCTTGGCTTGGGGTGTAGCTCTGAGCTAGTAACTGTCTTCAATACCTCGCTTTCTTTCTAGCACCACAGGCGAGAGCTTAACAGTTAAGAGAAAAAAGACCAATGGACAGAGTGGTAGGTGCAAGAGGTGGGAACGGGAGACACTTCCCTCCTCAGAAGGCTTAGAAGGCAGGCAGGAGGCACCAGCCCGTCTCCAGGGACAGCTCTAAATGCATGTGTGCCTTTGTCATTAATCCAGTAAGGCACAGCCCAGGGTCTTAGCGGATGAGTCTTCAAGAAGCAAAGCGTCATTTCACAAAGCAACCTTAGCTCTGAGGGGGTGATGACAGCAGAGCCACCGAAGAGAAGGCAGGCAGTGGTACCCCCTGCCCAGAGGCTGGCCTTGCTCCAGAGTCGCGCCCCGGGGCCATGGGGGCCACGCCTCCTGGAAGGGGGGCAGATGAGGGCATCTCCTCCTCCACCACGTGGCCAGCCTCCTCTCTGGGAGGGAGAGGCCGCCGCCGCCGCTGGACCATCCCTCCGCGCTCGATAGTTCTCACTCTGACGACCCCCTCTGGAATAAGGACACCTTTCCTTCCTCACTCACAGAGTCCTTTCTCCTTGTCACAGATTCCCTGAGGAACATCCCCTCGGCCGGCCACGGCGCCCGCTCCTCGCCAGGCGAGTTCGGCGGCTCCCATCAGCACCTTCTCCGAGAACGAAAGTCCTCAGCTCCGTCCCACTCCAGCCAGCCGACCCTGTTCACCTTCGAGCCCCCCGTGTCCAACCACATGCAGCCTGCCTTGTCCACCAGCGCACCCCAGGAGTATCTCTACCTGCACCAGTGCATCAGCCGGAGGGTGGAGAACGCCAGGTAGGAGATGTGGCCTCCGGGCCCACCACTTTCCCATCTCCGTGCTTTCATTTTTTTTTTTTTTGATATATTGATTTTTTTTTACAGAGAGGAAGAGAAAGGTTTAGAGAGTTAGAAACATCGATGAGAGAGAATCATTGATCAGCTGCCTCTTGCACACTCCCTACTGGGGATGTGCCCGCAACCAAGGTACATGCCCTTGACCGGAATCGAACCTGGGACCTTTCAGTCCGCAGGGCGACGCTCTGTCCACTGAGCCAAACTGGTTTTGGCCACGCTTTCATTTTAAATACAAGGGACTACAGTGTTGTATCTTTCCAGATGATAAAATGTGTGCTTATAGGACAAAACATTTTTTCATTTATCAATAGACAACGGTCACATTTCCTTGGTATCGTCTCTGTTGCTATACAGTGATAATTGGATCCCATTGTTAAAAATTATGCTATAAAAACTTTTTATTTATTTTGTGGGGGGGAGGGGAGAGTATTTTAGGGCTAGAGTATCAGAAATGAAAAATACAAGTTAGGTTACTTGTTGGCCTTAAGAAGATAGCCACAAAGCCTTCACATTATTAAACAAATACACATCTCACTTTCTCTGTAGAGCTGCACTGTTCTATACGGTTGCCACTGTCCCCCTGTGGCTAATTAAATTTGAATCAGTTAAAACAATAAAATTTTAATTCAGTTCCTCTGTTGCACTAGCTACATTTCAAGTGCTCAGTCACCCCATGTGGCTAGTGGCTACTGTACTAGGCAGTAGGGATATGAAACTTCATCATCACAGCCAATTCCACAGCAAGAACTCCCTGCTCTAGAATAATGGTCTTGTTTTTCTACCATCGCCAGCTCTCTCACAGGTGCAGAGCTTGTGCATATATATGTTTATTACCTTTTATTTTGTTAAGATAAACAAAAGCACAGAGCTTAGTCAGGGCTATTTCCCAACCACTACCATGGCCGGCAGATTATAAATCATGTTCCTTAATTAATTTATTTATAGCTATCTAATTTGTGTTATGAGAATTAAGGCAATTAGAGGACTGGCTATTGTAATATTTTACTTTACAGAATATTTTCATGCATAACCTCACTCGAACCAGTCAAACACACAGAGAGAGCTAGCATGGCCATTTATCTTCCTTTCATAGATGAAGACACGGAGGCTTACGACTAGTAAATGACAGAGGTGGGACTAGAACTCAGGTCTTCTCATGTCTGGCCCTGTAATATGTTCTACCTTGGCTCTGGTTTTCTGAGTCATTTGCCATCGCCCGGCAGAAGCTCCCAAAACTCAGGCTTAGCGAAGCCTCAAGCACCCATTTGATTCATTTGTCAGTGAACTTTCATGAACTGAGCCTCCATCAACTTAGCCTTGAAGAGCTGTATTCTAAAAAGGCAGGATGAATTAACCAAGATCACCAATTTGTTCATGGCAGAACCATGATGGCTGTTGATTTCCTCCTGAGCTGCAGCTCAGGTGCAGGCAGTGGCTGCGATGAAAAGCAGATTACACATATGGCTCCAAATTTTGGCTCTGCCACTGCCCTTGTGATCATGAGCCATTTGGTTAACCTTCTTGACCTTCCATTTCCTTGTCTGCTACATGGAAATAACCAGTGCAAAGGCTTTCTAATGAGCGTAAAATGACCAAACAGTCGTGGATGTTCAGCCCATGTCACCTGTTGTTCTTCTGTGCTTCATCCCCTCCTACTACACGCATGATTGCCTGGGAGTAGAGAATGTGCAAGAGTTCTTACAATCATAGTTCCAGGGAAGAACAAAGTGCTGTATTTTAATGCCTCTCAGACTTTAATTCACTTATGAAATACCCAGGGATCTTGTTGAAATGCTGGTTCTGACTGAGGAGGCTTGCAGTGGGGCCTGCCTTTCTGTCAAACATCATACGATGTTATTTAGATTGTCTGCTGTCCACACGTTAAGGCATGGGTGGGAACACCCATCCCGTGGGCCGTAAGCATCCTGAGAGATCATTTGGTCTGGTCTGGCCAAGGCATTAGGCGTAAGTTAATTAAATGTTTGACCAAATATAGCAAGCTTATTTTTAAGTTGATAATGTTGTATGGCCCTCGAATGATGTTATAATTATCCAAATGGTCCTTGGCAGGAAAAAAAAATGATTCCTCACCCCTGCTTTGACCTTATACAATATTAGCAGCTACCCCGACCTCTCCCCTCCAGTCCCATGATACTGCTACAGCAAGAGAACAAACACATAAATGTCTCTCCTTGAATTAGCACTTGGGGCCCACTCTCTGCAGAACCTCTGGAATTTCATCTCTCCTCTGAATTACCATAGCAGGGTTTTTTTTGTTTTTGTTTTTGTTTTTGTTTTTTTAATATATATTTTATTGATTTTTTACAGAGAGGAAGGGAGAGAGATAGAGAGCTAGAAACGTCGATGAGAGAGAAACATCAATCAGCTGCCTCTTGCACACCCCCCACCGGGGATGTGCCCGCAACCAACATACATGCCCTTGACCGGAATCGAACCTGGGACCTTTCAGTCCGCAGACCGACGCTCTACCGCTGAGCCAAACAGGTTTCGCTCGTAGCAGGTTTTGATGATATCCCTCACAGTGCTTGGAACCCTGTGCCTTATATTCTGGATATTAATGTTACTGTGTTTGAAGATCCAAGGCACCAGTAAGCACATGGGAAATACTTGGACAAACCCGTGTTGTGGAGCAAACACAGTAAAGGTGACAGAACGTGCCTGCAGCTGGAGAAGCGCCTTTGTGTGGGGCCTGACCACTGTGCTGTTTTCTGTGTCTTTGTTTTCACTGTGTGGGCGTTAGAGGAAGAGGGTGATGAGCAGAAACCCAGGGGGGGGTTTGGGGAAAAATTAGTTTAAACTTTTTTTTTTTTTTTTGCAGAATTCCAATGGGGGGTGGAAAGGAAGCGTTCTTCAGTCCAGAAAGACTATATAGTTTCTGGTAGGAGTGGAGTAGTGCATGATACTAAACATACTGTAACAATTATAAACTCTGGACAAAATACACAAAAACTGTTTGAAGACACTTAAGAGCAATCAAAAAGCAGGCAGAGAGTGGAAAAGATTGGACTCTTGAAAAAATGGACTCACACTGAGTGGGTCCAACTCTCATGGCTTTTCCTATGAGGGAAATTCCTATCACCCAAAATATATAGTATGCAATGAGAAACTGTTAGGCACATGAAGAAACGGTAAAAGTTGACCCATAGTTGAGAGAACTCAGTTCATAGAAACAAACCAAAGAACATTCAAATTTTGGAGCTAGAATACAAAGACTTCCAATGATGATATTTATTGTTTTACTATATGGAGCGGGACTGATAATGAGTGAAGAAATTGTTAAATGTAGGAGAGAGATAGAAACTCTGAAAAAGAACTTAGGAGTTCCAGTTCTAAGGGTGGGACATTCCCAAACCAATATAGCATAGGCTCTGTAAACAAATCTGAGATTTGCACTACCACACAGAAGAGTCAAAATTTGTAGTCTGCACCTAACCAAGTTGATAGCCTGCAAAAACAAGATCATAGACATTCTCCAGAGGATTATACCAGAACCCAGAGCCTAGGCAACCTAAGATCACAACATTCAGGATTTAGTCCAAAATTTCTCAGCATTCAGAGAATCACCAAAATGTAACATGTCTCACCCAGCCAGCGTGGCTCGGTGGTTGTGTCGGCCTATGAATCAGGAGAACACAGTTCGATTCCCTGTCAGGGCCCATGCTGGAGTTGCGGGCTCAATCCCCAGTAGGAAACATGTAGGAGGCAACCAATCAATGATTCTCTTTCATCATTGATGTGTCTATCTCTCTCTCCTTTCCCATCCTTTCTGAAATCAATAAAAAATATATATATTTTTACCAAAAAAAAATTAAAAGAACCCTTACTTCATATCACGCTACTCAAAAGTTAACTCAAATGTATCAGAGATCTAAAAGTGAAGTCTAACACTATGAAACTTGTAGAAGAAACATCTCTATGATCTTGGGGTAAGCAAAGAATTTTATATAGGATACAAAAAGCAGGAATCATAAAAGAGAAATTGGATAAAGTCGTATTTTGGGGGAGATTGTTATCGTTGTTAATCCTCACCCGAGGATAGTTTTCCTCCATTGATTTTTAGAGAGAGGAAGGGAGGGAGGATGTGTGCGAGAGAGGGAGAGAGAGACAGACAGACAGACAGACATGTATTGGCCACCTCCTGCCCACACCCTGACCTCGGCCAGGGAACCAGGGCCAGAAACAAACCTGCAATCCAGGTCTGTATCCTTGACGAGGAATCGAACCTGAGACCCCATGGTGTGCGGGCCAGCGCTCTGCCACTGAGCCACACCGGGTCAAGGAGATAGTTTTTTACTTTATTTTTTATTGTTGACACTATTACATACCCCCGTTTTCCCACCTTTGCCCACCACCACTAGCCCTTGTTCCCGCTTCCCTCTGGCTATCACCTCACTGTTGTCTATGTATATGGCTTATGCAGAGATGTTCTCTGGCTCATCCCTTCACCTTCTTTCATCCAGCCCCTTCTGCCCGCCTTCTCTCTGACGTCTGTCAGTCTGTTCCTTGTACGATAAAGTAGTTTTAATCAAAATCCAAATATTTGCTCTTCAAAAGAACCCCATAAGAAAACAAAATGGCAACTAATAGAATGTGAGAAACTATTCAAAGCACATATGTCTGACAAAGGATTTATTTCTAAAATATATTTTAAGAAACTATTTCAACTCAATAGAAGACAACCCAATTTTTTTAAGTGGGCAAAGAATTCGAACAGATATATCACACAAAAAGGATACAGGAATAGGGCAATAAATACATGGAAAAATGCTGAATCACCAAGAAAATGCAAATTAAAACCTTCGTGAGGTTTGCTGCATCTCCACCAGAAGGGCTAAAATAAAAAAAGACTAGCAATGCCAAGTGCCGGCGAGGCGAGAATGTGGGTGGGGTCTCATCCTGCACCGCCTCTGACATTCGCACTGCACACTGGGTGGTCTGCAAAAAAGGATTATGCTTTACAGTTGACAAAGCACTTTCCCACTTGTTACCTCGTTTGATCTCCAGAATAGCCTTACAGGCTTCCTTTTGAGTAGGGACTTGGAAGACAGAACCAGCTCATTCATTGCTGTCAAGCACAGACATACATGCCTCGTTGGATTACTGCGGTCAGTTTGTATTTACGAGGCTAATGATACCAGTCTTCTGTCTATTCCTTTCTACATTTATGGGGGGACCTGCCATACAGTCACAATCGATGAAGCACATTAGAGATAAAGCCTCAACTTACTCCTCATTACTTTTACTACACCACCAGCCCCGATTCTCCCTTTGAGTACAGAGTAACATGTGTCCTGGTTAAAACGATTTAGTTTTCAAAACCCAGCTCTTCTACTGAGCTAAGGTAAGTAACCCCTCGGCATAGTAACCCTTGCCTGTGGAAGGCACTTTGTGAACTGAACCGTCAAGACCAGCAGAGCCCCTTTGTCTGTGAAGATACACGCGTCCCATTGGATTTATTTTTGTTTGCCAGCCTTCGGGCCTCATTCCAGATTGGAGCCAGTCTCTATCTTCTTATTTCAAGGAGGCTGTTAAACCTCACAGGAGGGATCCATTTGGGATGGGTCAGATGCAGGAGGACGGTCCAAATGACTTCCTAAGATTGCTAGTGACACCGGTCATGGGAGACATGCAAGTTAGAACCACAGTGAGACATCATCTTGCACCTGTCAGAAGGGCTGCCATCGAAAAATCAACAAACAACAAGTGTTGGCCAGGATGTGGAGAAAAGGGAACCCTTGTGCGCTGTGGGAGGCAGTGCAGACTGGTGCAGACACTGTGGAAGACAGTATGGAGGTTCCTCAAAAAAATTAAAAATAGAACTCCATATGACTCAGCAACCCCACTTCTGGGTTTTTATCCAAAGAAATCTAAAGCAGCGGTTGCCAACCTTTCAGACCTCAAGGACCACCAGTGGTCCGCAGACCAGCGGTTAGCGAACGCTGCTCCAAAGGTTTCCTTAAACCAGCGGGCGCCATGGACCTCGTGGCCCGCCAGTGGTCTGCGGACCCCCTGTTGGCGACCGCTGATATAAAGCACTAATTCAAAAAATATATGCACTCCTATGTTCACTGCAGCATTACTTACAATAGCCAACATATGGAAGCAACCTTGACAGCTGAATAAACAAGATGGGGTGGTACGTATGTACAATGGAATATTACTCAGCCGTAAAAAAATAACAAAATCTTATCGTTTGTGACAACATGGATGAACCTAGAGGGTATTATGTAAAGTGAAATAAGTCAGACAGATAAGACAAATACTATATGATTTCACTTATGTGTGCAACCTACAAAACAAATAAAACACACATAGAAAATCTAAACAGACCCATAGACACAGAGGAAAAACTGATGATTGCCAGGAGGGAGGGGGTTGGATGGCTGAGTAAAAAGTTGAAGGGATTAAGAGGTACAAGCTGGTAGTTTCAAAATAGCCATGGGGGTGTAAAGTACAGTATAGAGAATATAGTCAGGAGTCTACACTAATAATAGCCTAGGTGGCATCACGCCCTCATGCATCACATCCTAATGTCAAAAGATAGCCGTCACTAGATGGCTGTGCGCACAGTGGAGGTGGGGCCTGGTGAAGGAGGCGAGTCACGGCAGGGGAGTGCAGTTGTGTGCAATCAGGCCAGCAGGGGGGGCAGTTGTGTGCAATCAGGCCAGCAGGCCAGCCCAGATGGAAAGCAGGACGTCAGTGCGTGTTTGTTACATGAAGTAATGCAGATAGGATCATCCAGTTGGAGGCAATCAGGGCAGTTGGAGGCAATCAGGCAGGTGAGCTGTTAGGAGCCAATGGTCCCGGATTGTAAGAGGGATGTTCAGCAGTCAGACATCCCCCGAGGGGTCTCACATTGGAGAGGGTGCAGGCTGACTTGCTTCAAGGGAGAGGCTGGTGAGCAGCCTTTTGGGCTGAGTTTGAGGAAGAAAGGGTGGAGCTGGTCAGCTGGGAGTAAGAGCCCTTCAGACAGCCAGCAGCACAACCAAGCCAAGAGGCAAGGCTGCATGGGGCAGCCTGGGGACGCTGGGCAGTCCGGCTGGAGTGGAGCCTGGAGTGGGAAGGGGGACCTGTGGGAAGAGATTGGAGAGATAGATGCTTTGGAATCAGAATGTGAGACAGTTTTGAAAATGATTACACTGGGCAGTGAGGAAAGTAAATGTCAGTGGAATGAGGAGCCCTGGGCAGATGGTAGGGAGGCTTTTTCCAGCCCTTTTGCTAGAGGCCTGAATTGGGTGGCGTTATTGAGTGAAAACTCATAATGTGGGTAACAGGCTTAGATGACTGGTTCCATTTCCAAGACAGGAGGGTCAGGAGGAAAAGGATGAATTCGTTCTTGCGTATGTCCTGCTACTGCAGGACACCTGTCATGCTGTCCCCTCCACAGCCCCACCTCCACCTTAAAATCCTCCCAGGGGCCGAAACAGGTTTGGCTCAGTGGATAGAGCGTCGGCCTGCGGACTGAAGGGTCCCAGTTCGGTTCCGGTTAAGGACATGTATCTTGGTTGCGGGCACATCCCCAGTAGGAGGTGTGCAGGAGGCGGCTGATCAATGTTTCTCTCTCATTGATGTTTCTAACTCTCTATCCCTCTTCCTTCCTCTCTGTGAAAAATCAATAAAATAAAATAATAAAATAAATTCTCCCAAAGTGTTGGGGGCCAATTCCCATCATGCCTCCTGGCACACTGGCTCCAGCCAGAGCAGCCTGCAGTCCCTTGAACATGCCAGGTTGTGTTCTACCTCTTGTGCCTCTAACTGGAACACCTTTTCCTTTCCCTTGCCTTTTGCCTGGCCAATTGCCAGACTTGCTGGAAGGGAGCATCTTTGGAGCAGCGTCCCCTGGCATTGGGTACCACCCGCCCCCCAGGGAGGGTAGTATCACAGCATCTGCTGACCCACGTGATCATGATGATTTGCCTGTGTGTCCCCTCCTCCACCCCTGACCTCCTCACCCAGAGCAGGAGGCGTCCCTGTATCCATTATGCCTGGCCAGCCCAGATGGAAAGCAGGACGTCAGTGCGTGTTTGTTACATGAAGTAATGCAGATAGGATCATCCAACAGGGAGCTGGACATTCCAGACATCAAAATGAAAGGCACCACAGACAAACGAGAATCATGTGAACCCCTTCTGCCCTCCTCCGCTCCAAGCACTGCATCACCTCCAGGCTAAGTGGCCAGTGAACTAGGCCAGGGCTGGCAGCTTGGCCATATGTGTGGTTGGAGTGGGAAGGGAGAGAGAACAGAGGCCAGCAGAGGAGGGCTGCTGAAGGTTGGGTGACTGAAATGGATGCAAGTTTACATGAGAGAGCCTGGCCTAGACACCTGTTTGCCTTCCTCATTCTAAGCCTCTGGGCCCTGTTCTCTACCGCCATCTGGTGGCCATGTTTGTAAGTAACAAGCTCCTCATGAGCTGGAAGAGCTATTATAGTATAAGGCAGGAGGTTTTGACACCCTCGCCCCCCAGATTTAGCCTGCAAATCATATATGTACAATACCTGCCTTACTCCAGGGAAAAATTCCAAGAGCTTGTTATCCAATTCTTAGCAGCTTATAACCCCCAACAGTGCTCAAGTCCAACAGATTCACTACTACAAAGCATTTTTCTAGAATAGTGATTACTTTTTTCCCCCCTAACTGAAATCCAATGAAAGATCATAATGTAAGAGAGCGAAAACCAGACCTGGATCCCTACATTCTTAGAACCTCACCCTCCACTTTCCCAAGGTACCTACCTACACAGAACACAAAGTCCAGCTCGAAAAACACGTTTATAAACCAAAGGCTATGCTGCTGCAGAGCCAAATGGACCCTTTGAAACCCACAAGGTCAGACCTTGTGGCGGTCACACCATGGGGAGGTCACTCCTTGGGGAGGTCACACCGTGGGGAGGTCACACCATGGGGAGTCACACCATGGGGAGGTCACACCGTGGGGAGGTCACACCGTGGGGAGGTCACACCGTGGGGAGGTCACACCATGGGGAGGTCACACCATGGGGAGGTCACTCCTTGGGGAGGTCACACCGTGGGGAGGTCACACCGTGGGGAGGTCACACCATGGGGAGGTCACACCATGGGGAGTCACACCTTGGGGAGGTCACACCGTGGGGAGGTCACACCATGGGGAGTCACACCTTGGGGAGGACCTCAGTGAAGCTCACAGAGTGTATCAGTGGCCTATCTGGGGCCTAACACAAATCCCTCTACTCCTGTGTCTTTAAACTGCTTGGTTTTACCTTATTGCCCAAAAACCTAAATTAAAAAAAAAAAAATTTAAAAAGGAACAAACAAGGCTGACATTGATGGAACATCTCTATACTAGTCTAGCTTCTGAATAACCTTCCAAGTAGGTTTGTAGTCACCATTTTCTCAAATGCATAAACTGACGCTCCGAGAGAGAAAGTGCCTTGCCCAAGGTCACACAGCTAGTAAACTGAGGCAAACCTCGGGCCGGCCGGCCTCCGAGGCCTGTGTTTCCCCCGCACCAAGGGGCTGCACGGGGTTTGGCCTCCCTGGTGGGCAGTCCTGGCCTCCTCTAACCGCCGGCCCCATCCCTCCTTTCTCTCTTAGGAGCGCCAGCTTCTCCCAGGGCACCAGGGCCTCGTTCCTCATGAGGAGTGACACAGCCGTACAGAAACTGGCCCAGGGCAACGGGCACTGTGTCAACGGGGTCAGCGGCCAAGTCCACGGCTTCTATAGCCTCCCCAAGCCGAGCCGGCACAACATAGACTTCAGAGACAGTGCCTACGACCTGCCCCGGAGCCTGGCCGCCCACGGCCACACCAAGGGCAGCCTCACGGGCTCTGAGACGGATAATGAGGACGTGTACGCCTTCAAGACGCCCAGCAACGCCCTGTGCCGGGAGTTCGGGGACCTCCTGGTGGACAATATGGAGGTGCCGGCCACCCCCCACTCAGCGTACCAGATCCCTAGGACCTTCACGCTGGACAAGAACCACAATGCCATGGCAGTGGGCGCTCCTGGGGACTCGGCCATGGCTCCCCCACCCAGACCCCCCAAGCCAAGCCAGGCAGAAACACCTCGCTGGGCCAGCGCTCAGCAGAGACCCCCCATCGGCGAGAACAGCAGATCGGTCTCTGCCGCCACCATCCCCCGGCGCAACACCCTCCCTGCCATGGACAACAGCCGGCTTCACCGAGGTCAGTGCAAGCCCAGCTGAGGCCCAGGGGGAGGGGTAGGTAGCACGGGGCTTCTCAGCAGTTTGGTGGTCTGTGGCCATGCGTGCCCAGGAGATGGGAGGACCAGCCTGGTCACTGACATCATCCCTCCAGCACTGGAGGCAGTTAGTGGACACCCACACCGGCTAGAGTGTAGCAGTGGGAAGGGGGACCTGTGGGAAGAGATTGGAGAGATAGATGCTTTGGAATCAGAATGTGAGACAGTTTTGAAAATGATTACACTGGGCAGAGAGGGGAGGTGGGGGGTCCCACATAGATACTGGCACTGGAGCTGGGAGCCTGGGAGGAACTTATGAGCTACAGGGAGATGTGGCAGGATAATGCCTGATCACAGGGCAGGGAGGAGTGGCTTCTGGAGTCTCAGCAATAGGGGAGGGTCTGGGGGAGTGTCCACACACAGGAAACAGAATGCATCTGGTCTTCCTTCCTCTGCTGCAGCTTCTTCCTGTGAGTCCTACGACCCCCCGCAGCGAGGCGGAGAGAGTGCGGGCCGGTCTGCAGAGTCCATGAGTGACGGAGTCAGTTCTTTCCTGGTGAGTGGCCCCAGCCAGGCATCCTCGGGCAGCTCAGATGGGGTAAGATCACTCCAAGAGTGACAGCATCTCCCTCTTAAGACACTGCTTAATTCTTGTCTCAGTTCAGAGCCCTGGGTTGAGTTTTGAGTTTGTGTGTGTGTTTTTGTCCTCACCTGAGGATATGTTTATTCATTCTAGAGAAAGGAAGGGCAAGGGAGAGAAAGGGAAACATCTATATGAGAGAAACATCAATGGTTGCCTCCTGTACATGCCCTGATCCGGGATGGAATCCACAACCCAGGTATATGCTCTGACCCGGTATGGAACCCGCAACCTTCTGGTGTATGAGACGATGTTCCAACCAACTGAGCCACCCAATCAGGGCACCCTGGGTTGATATTCAGACAGATACAGGTATGCTGCTGGGGAGGAAATGTGTGTACACTGGACGACAGGGCTGTGGGTAAGCAGGAGGGCCTACATGCAGAGGGCCCAGGCTCTGGGATGGCGGATCTCAGGCTGCGTCCTCGCCTGCCAGGTCTCCCGGGAGGAGGGGCTTGGGAGAGGCTGCGGGCAGCAGTGGCCCAGTCAGGCTCAGCGGCAGGATCCCAGGCCGGCCTCTGCAGCGGCTGACCACAGTTCTGCAAGGCGTCAGGCCCCAGCAGAGCAGACTGGGCCTGGCTTCAGGTGCGTGGGAAAGACTGGGAATTAGGTAACCAAAGCAGAGGCAGCTTCATGATACGTCTGGACGCACAGGGCAAGAGATGACGGTGGAAGGTTCTGAGTGACATGACATGAGGCCATATTGTATCGTCAAGAACTTTTATTCCAAGCTCCTGGGTGCAGGCGGGCTGATGGGGGGGAAAAGGAGTCAGTGCAGACTGAGTGGGAGGCAGGTATTTTTAGCTTCTGCTGTCTGCAAGCAGTTTCCGTGGGCGCACAGAGCCGACTGGCGGGTCCCGTCCTTGGTTGCTCCGGGTGCCTGATGTCCAGCGGTTGCCTAGGCTGTGCGGAGCTCCGGGCTGCGCTCTTTCTACAGGAGGTCTCCTGAGCACAATGAGTTTCCCCTGCCCCGACTTATTCTCTTTAACCCTTTCGGAAGGAAGGCTGTGGTCAGAGTTGCTGCACTGCACACCCTAGCAGCTCTGCCCGCACCGTGCTCACCTTGAGAGCTGGCCTGGGTAACGCAGCCGGCCCAGCCCTCACCTGCCAGGGCCCAGGCTTCTGATGTGCTCCTGGCCCAGCGTCCACACTGAGGGGGAGGCAGGTCCTGAACTAACGGTGCAGCCACAGCCTGTGCTGCCTGCTCTCTGCCCCGGGGTAGGCGGAAAGCCTCATGGGCCCAGCCATCAAGGAGATTTCATGCTAAACATTTATCAAAAACTACAGGGACCCCCAAGGAAGCCTGGGCGCTAGAAGGCCCCCCACAGGGGAACTTCCTGTTGCCCACTTTCTTCTTTGTTTTCTCAGGGTCTGCCTTGTAGCCTCGCCACGCACCTCACTAGTCGTTCCTTTTCCTGCCTTGTGCATAGGTCCTTACCCCTCTGGTTTCTTGCCAGTGATGCTGTGTTTCCTTCGCTTTCCTTCCTAGCCGGAGAGAACACTCAGAGGCCGGTCAGACAGCACCAACTCCGAAGACAACTACGTGCCCATGAACCCCGGCTCCTCCACCCTGCTGGCCTTGGAGAGAGCAGGCGACAACTCCCAGAGCGCCTACATCCCCATGAGCCCAGGACCCCATCTCTTCGACCCGCTCAGCTACCCCGCCACAGCCCTTCCTTTGCATCGAGGCTCCGGCCGGGGGAGTGAGATCCAGCCACCCCCTGTCAACCGCAACCTCAAACCCGACCGCAAAGGTGAGCTCGCTCTTTCCTGGTCCCATCTCTGGACGACGGCCAGGGGCTGTGGCCATTCATTTAGCGACCAAGTGGGGAATCCTATACTTTACTTGCAAGGAAAGGAGCCTGCACCACCCCAAAGTCTCACACATACGCTAACCCTGCGAACGCATCCCAGTGGGCTGGCCCCTTAGCGACTGGTTGAGGGAGAAGCTTGGAGTCCAGAAGTGGGGGAGGACCCAGGACAGGCCACATTTAGGTTTCCGCTCCATCACCTGCTGACGTGTGAGTAGAGACAAATCGTTTTGTGTCTGAGCCTTGTTTCTTTTCTTTTTTTTTTTCTTTAATATATTTTATTGATTTTTAACAGGAAAGGAGAGGGATAGAGAGAAACATCAATGAGAGCAAAACATCACATCGATCAGCTGCCTCCTGTGGTACACCTCCTATTGGGATGTGCCCGCAACCAAGGTACATGCCCTTGACTGGAATCGAACCTGGGACCTTTCAGTCCACAGGCCGAGGCTCTATCCACTGAGCCAAACCGGTTAGCAGAGCCTTGTTTCTTTATTTGTGAAGAGAATATAATACATACCTCCCGAAGGAATTGAGGGGCATAGCTACCCTGTTTCCCCGAAAATAAGACAGTGTCTTATATTAATTTTTGCTCCCAAAGATGCGCTAGGTCTTATTTTCAGGGGATGTCTTATTTTTCCATGAAGAAGAATAATACGGTACACATTTATTGTTAAATGAAAATAAAGGAAATGTATTACCTGTATACGGTACGGTAGTACGGTAGTTGTCAACACAAACCAGACAAACTGTGAATCCTACAGTATCAAGAATTTACTCATTTATTCAATGACAATCATGTCATCATCTTCTGGAACATCATCATAACAATCCAATTCCTGAATTTCCTGGTGAATTTCTTGTGACTCCATTTCTTTCAGAATCAGTGGACCAAATCTCTCATGTTTAGCCTAGGGGGCCTTATTTTTGGGGGGATGCCTTAATTTCACTCAGAAGGAAACCTGTAAGTATGTCTTATTTTCGAGGAAACACAGTACTATATCTAAAAGTGCCTCCTAATGCATAAAATGCTGTGTGAGGGTAACGGGGTCAGTTTACAGAGTGGAACGGGCAATCTATTAAAGGGTCCACTCTGACGTAATAGGAAGGTGTGAGCATTCAAACCTGGTACATGGGGGTTGGAATCCTCCTCGAAGACTTCCTGGGTGTGTCTTTGGGCAAATCCTTTATCTGTGAAATGGGAACAGTAATTCCTGCCTCCGGGTTTGTTCGGAAGGAAGCCTCCGGGAGGTTGACTCTGATCCACGGCAGACGCCCCGGGAAGTTGGCTCTGTGTTCCCGGCCTCTGGACCAGGAGGAGGGCTGGAGTTCCGGCTCCAGGCTGCTCCCACCTCAGGCCCCCGCCTTGGTCCGTGGCAGGGACTGGAGGGAGAGGTGGAGTCACCTCTGGTGGAGATGAGCCCACGGTCTGGTCACCAGGGAATCCAGGTCTTGGCGTTTGAACTGAAGCCTGCAAGGCTGGGGCCTTCATCTCCCTCCACTGCAGGTTCAGAGCTAGTCGTGGCGGCATTCTCCCATAGAAACATCTCCCACATTTCCCTGCATGGTCACATCTCCGGGGAGAGCAACCCGCAGTCCGACCCTCTGTCCTCACCTTAGATTCAGAAAATAGGATTCCTGCCAAAACTGGTTTGGCTCAGTGGATAGAGTGTCCGTCTGAATAACGAAAGGTCTGCGGATTGAAAAGTCCCAGGTTCGATTCCGGTCAGGGGCATGTACCTTGGTTGTGGGCACATCCCCAGTGGGGGGTGTGCAGGAGGCAGCTGGTCGATGTTTCTCTCTCATCGATGTTTCTGGCTCTCTATCCCTCTCCATTCCTCTCTGTAAAAAATCAATATATTTAAAAAAAAAAAAATAAGAGAGAGAGAGAGAGAGAGAAAATAGGGTTCCTGTAGACACAATGCAAAGAACCTGTTCTTTGGCATCTGAAGACAGACTTTAAGGCCTATCAATGGGCAAAGAGCACATCACCGCTCAGCCTGTCTCTCTGAGAGACCAGGATGGAGCTGAGGCGCTCGTACTCACACTGTGTCCCATGGAAGTGTGATATCATCCACAGCCGCTAACACGACTCTGCTTCCCGCTCCAGGAAAGCCAACGCCTCTCGACCTGCGGAGCAACACGGTCATCGACGAGCTTCCCTTCAAGTCGCCCGTCACCAAGTCCTGGTCGAGGGCCGTGTGAGTGCCTTTGGGACGTGGGAGCGTGGCCCAGAGCCGTGCGGGCTGGTGAGGGAGCGGTGGCCAGGTGGGAGTCAGGGAGGCGATAGATAATGCCGTCGGTAGCTCAGCCCTGCCTCCGTCTCTGGGGGCCCGGTGTCCTCATCTGAAGGGGAACAGCTGTATCCGCCCTGAATCAGTTCCTCACCTGGAGTGGCGTGTGGAGCTCTGAGGGCAGAGGTGGGGGGGGGGGTGAGTTGGGAGCTCCGTCCGGGTTTACCCTTTGCCTCCTCCCCCCCACCCCACAGCCACACCTTCAACCCCAGCTCCTCCCAGTACTGCCGCCCCACCTCCACCCAGAGCATCACCAGCACGGACTCGGGAGACAGCGAGGAGAACTACGTCCCTATGGTGAGTGCCCTGGGCCCAGCGCTCAGACCCCGCTCCCCCGTCCCTCCCTCCGCCCGGGGACCCCACATCACGTGATGTTTGGTTTGCTGCCGCCAATCTTTCTTGAGCCACATGAGGCGCTGAAGACAGGGTCCCTCCCCTCAGAGAGGCCGCAGTCCTGGGGCCGAGGCGACTGCCTCGGTTGTGATGGCACAGCTGGTGCGGAGAGCGCACCTGCAGGACAGGCTGGGAAAGGCTCGGAGGTGGAGGACCCCGAGTGCCACCTTGGGGGGAGGGGGGACTGGACTTTTCCTGCGGGCAGGAGGGAGCCCCAAAAGAGTTAGCAGGCCCAGTGATTAGACAGACGTTTCAGAATAAGCACTGGTGGCAGAAGCACCCTTCAAAGTCAGCTCCTCCTCCTCCTGTTAAAACCTTTTAGAAGTAAAAGATGTGCCCTTCACTCCTTACATCAAGTGCTCAGGGCCACGAGCAGTGTATGCGGAGGGGAGGCGCAGACACAGGCAGGGGGCACGGGGCCTCCTGAGGTGGCGTGGAGGCGAGGACGGCTGCCCGGCACAGGGTGGTGGCTGCACATGCACCAGCCAGCCAGAGGGCAGCCTCACAGGCAGAGGACTGTCGCCCTCCTCACTAGAACGGGGCTTCTCGAAGATCCTGGGCAGGTGCCCTGGGGCCTGGACGGAGACAGGACCCTCGTGCACGTCGCTGAGGGGCTGCTGAGGGGGCGGGGGGGCTCCTTGTCCCGATCTCTGAGGAGCTGGGGGAGCACAGTGTCCCTGTGGCCGCCCCGCTGCAGGCCACGGCGAGGGTTTCAGAGGGAGATTGGCTGCAAGAGAAGACCTTGCCGTGTCCAGTGCACAAAGGGAAGGGACTCCCGTCTGCAGGCGAGGGCCGGGGCTGTGGGGGAGCCTGCGGGGGAGAGTAAGGGAGGAGGCGGCCTGAAGGGAAGGACGGCTCAGCAGGAGGAGTACAGTTTTGGGAGCCAGCACAGACCTGGTTCCCGCCCCTGCTCAGCAGCTCCTACCCAGGAGGCGAGCTTTCCGGTGGAGGGTTAGTCCCGTTCCCAAACTTACTAACAGGGCTTTCCTCCTCGTGACAGCAAAACCCAGTGTCTGCCTCGCCCATCCTCAGCGGCACCAGCAGCCCAGCCCCGAAGAAGAGCACGGGCAGCGTCGACTACCTGGCCCTGGACTTCCAGCCCAGCTCCCCGAGCCCCCACCGCAAGGTGCCTGGGGCGGCCGGGGTGGGCACTACCCTCCTACTGCTTCCCTGTGCTTTCAGCCGCCCTACAGGGCTCCCAGCCCCGCCCCCAGCTCCTGGTCAGCCAGGCCCTCCCCTGTGAGGGGGGCACACGAAAGCACTCCCCCCCCCCCCCGAGACACTCCGCGGGAGGTCAGAGAGCGGATGAGTGCCAGGCCCGGGACCCCGGTGGAGAGCTCACTGCCTGTGGCTCCCGGAGCGCTGCTCTGGACGCTGTGGCCGAGGGGGCTCTGGGCGCAGGCAGCTCACGGAGCTGCCCAGTCTGGAGGCAGGGCGGGCACGGGCCTCGGCGCAGGTCCCCCGCAGGGACACACAGAGGCCTGTGGCTGGTGCTGGTTGGCACCCAGCACGTGCCCTCCCCTGGAGGAGTGGTCACAAGGTGGGTGGGGGCAGAGCTGTGGGCCTGGGTCCCCCTTGGGGCTGGAGGGGTGATGCCATGTGGAGTGGAGGCTCTAAAGGCCACTCCCCTAAAAAGACAAGGTTCCTACAGCCAGTCAGAGCGGCCACCCTCCTGGGTTCTCACAGCACTTCTACTCCCTCTACCTGCAGCCGTCCACGTCGTCTGTCACCTCCGACGAGAAGGTGGACTACGTGCAGGTGGACAAGGAGAAGACCCAGGCGCTGCAGAGCACCATGCAGGAGTGGACGGACGTGCGGCAGTCCTCGGAGCCTTCCAAGGGCGCCAAGCTGTGACCGGGCTGCCGAGCCTGGAGGGGGCCGGGCCCTGAAGCTGGTTCCTCCCCTCTCCCCCCACCCTCTCCTCTCCTTCTGCCCTTCCTACCCTCCTCTCTCCTTGACCAGCCTGGACTCCAAAGCACTGACGTCAGGGACCCTGAGCCTTCCCCGGGAGGCCAGGCCTGACGGAGGCACTGCCTTGGCCTGGGCCCGCCTCTGGTTTCATCAGCGATGGCCACGCCTCTCACCTTAGCTAGGGCGCTCGCCAAAAAGCATCCTTCAGCCGCTTCCTGCCCTTTAGGCCTGAGCACCTACCGGGTGTAAGGAGGGAAGGGCCAGGCTCTGAGCTGGACTCCACACCTCACGCTCACGCCCAGCCCCCTTGCCGCCGCTGCCCTGGGCTACCTCCTTGAGCCCCTGAAAAGCCCATCGTCTCACTGACTAGGACGACAAGGACAGCAGCCCCAGTGGACATGGACTTGATCCCTTTCTGTCTCAGCAGGGGAGAGGCAAGGCCACCAAAAGGTGGCGGAGTTAAGAAGGTTAGAGGTGGTCTCTGGGCACAAAGGACTTAGATCCCCCCGTTTCAGCCAAATGGCAGTGCACCTGTTGCGGGTGGGAGGGCAGAAGGATGAGGACAAAAGGAAGGGGAAAACTGAGGATGATGGGCAACAAGGAAAGGGCTCATAGCCCAGGAGATGACGAGACAAGGACACAGGCTGGTCCTTGGGCTGGCCCCGGGAGCTTTCCCAGGACCTCCCAGTTCCTGCCACCTGAGGTGCCACTGGGAGGGGCTGGAGGTATGGGAGGGAGGGAACCTAGGGGGCACTGGAGGTGATGCAAAGGCTGAGCAGAAGGCAATGCATGGACACAGTAGGGGGGACAGGCAGCAAGTTTCTGCAAGATGAGCAGTGCAGGGGGCACAGGTGACGGATGGATGAGAGGCGGGAGCAAAGGCCTTTCGGGGACAGCAGAGCAAATACGCCCAAAGGGCGCGGTGGAATGCCCGAGGCAGTGCTGTGGGGATGCAGGATACAGGATGGAGCAGCAAGTGAAGGAGGGATGTCGTGTGAGGGGAGTGGTGTGCGTGGTGTCAGTGATGGACAACGGGGAGAGCAGTGTGAAGGAGAGAGCAGGGCAGAGCCTGGAGGGTGGCGTGGATTCGGGCCTGGTGCCCGCTGAGTGTTTCTCAGCTCATCTCACACTGTGTTGGACCCTCACAGCCCAGGGGCCACATTGGACCCAAACCTGGCTGCAGGGCCAGGAGCGGGGCTTCACTGCAGCCACTTTCTCCTGAGCCGGGGGGGGGGGGGGGGGGGGTGGATCTGAATCTTATGTTAATAAGTTCTTGGCCAAATTTTCCAGTGTCAGAGGGAACTGGGAAGACGAGATGTTTGATTCTCCTCTAGGGAGTAGACAGTCCTAACAAAAATGACTTCCCGCTACAGTGAATGCAGGTGGCTACCGCTCACCTCTCCATTTCTGTGAGTGTGAGTGTGTGTACACACGCCTCCCCAGCCCAAGGGCCTGACCCCTCCCTAGGAAGTCCCCTTCTGGAGAAACTATTTTCTCCACAGCCGCCCCCTCCTCCCAGTATCACCCACCCAGCACCTGCATTAATGGCGGCTGCGCCCAGGCTCTGGGACAGGCACCGAGGACCCGGGAACTAATCAGACTGCCCCTGCACGTGAGAAGGACACAAGGCGTCGGTAATGGCCACGAGAGACTGGAAACGCTGCCGCCCCCTTCCTAGGCAGAAGCACAACCGTCCGAAGCGGCTGGAGCCTGAGCGAGGAGGTGGGGCTGCTCCGGGAGTGGGAGGCCAGGGCAGGGAAGGAGCTGAGAGCAGACGAGGTGGCGTCCAGGGAGAGGAGGTGGCTGGGATGGGCTCGGAGAGGAGGGGTCGGATGTTTAAGGGGAGAGGAGGCTTGGCGGGCCTTGTGCTTTGGGAACAGAAGACCTTGGGGAGTACGGGTCCCTGGCTCCGGGTTCCCGCAGGAGAAGGGGCAATGGCGGCAGCGGCCTCCCATGAGCAGGTGCGCCGTTCCCTCTGTCCAGCCCGGACTGCGTCCCCAGGAAGGGAGCGTCTAGTGATGCCACCCCTGTGCCCAGCAGGCTACAGGCAGGCCCAGGTGTGGGTGCCCTCGTGTCAGTATTTCTGCCTGTGCCATGACGTGGGCTGGCCGGCATCTTCAGAGACTGTGTTCAGATCTAATCTGCAAGGAGCCCTCCCTTCCGTTCTTGGATCCCGTGACTCCCAGAGTCTTAGGGCAGAGGTGGGAGGAAGGGCAAGAGAAGAGGGCACTGGCTCACACGCCTCACACTGCCAGGTGGTTAGCACCTACCTGCCAGCTCAGCTTAAAAACTGGTCCTTTGGCCTCTCGGGTAAAAGCTCCCTCTCCTGGTGGCCTGGCGGGACCGGGGTTGCTGTCTCAGCCAGCACCTTGAACACAGGACTCCCGACTGGGGCGCGCTCACCCGCCTCCAGCTCCACCCCTGCCAGGTTACAAAAAGCAGAGCGGGAACCATGAGATGTCGCTCCTTCGGACCTTGGTTTGCCCGTCTGTGAAATGGGTGGTTAGATTAGGTCTCTGAGGCCCCTGACAGGGCTGATGCTCAGCTGTTTTAAAGGAGAACTCCCTTCCTGTGACCTCTCTCGAGAGCCTGGATCACGAGGGATGGGTAACACCCACACATTAGCCAGTTAACTCAGTCTCCTCCCTGGACTGCGTCTGATAGCCTCTATAGCCTCTATATCACAAACACGCCCCGTTCACAGGACAGAAGCACGGCCATTCTGCAGTGATTGGAGCACAGGCTCAACCCCAGTCTGCCCTTTGCCTCCCCTTACCTATCACGGGGATCAGGCCTCAGCCCCCACGTGGCCAGGCCCCTCACCCCCACCCTCCCGCTCCCTCTGACAAGCTCTGGAAGCAGAGTGCAGCGCGTCCTTCCTCTCGCTGGGCCTCCCTCTGCAGGGGAGGGGTGGGGGGAAGGGGTGAGCTGACCACGGAGCTTAAAGCCCCGCCTACGGGCCATCATCCTGGGACCCCGAGCTCTCTGGGGCCAGGTCAGCCGCCTGTGAGGGGGGTCCCACTGGAGTCGGGCCGTCATGTGCTGTTTGGTGGTGTGTGTGTGTGTGTGGGTTACATGTCCTAAAATGTAGAATCCTTCCCACAGAGTTGTTGCTGTCAGGAGCAGAGATAGGCTAGGAGAAGCCCCGTCTTAGGTTCTTTCCCTGTTACCATTTAAAATTGACATTTAATTTTTCAAATCACTGTTGGTGCCTAATCACTTAAGTTATTAATTTATTCTGTTTTCTTTTTTAAACAAAAAATTGTAACATATTTATCCTGTGAGTAGGTCTGGGGAGGGCGGGCACGGGTTTGTGTGTGGGTCTTTTTTTGCTGTGGTGACACATGGTACAGGCCTGACGCGCGCAGGTTGCTTTTTACTGTGGTGTTGGAGCAGGACAACAATAAAGTCCGATAGAAGCAGCCAGCGTGGGCGGCCGTGGTGCCTGTCGGAGGTGTCGGGGGCTGGCCGGGCCAGCCTGCGGGTTGTGTGTCAGCGTGAATGCATGCTCCATGAGAAGAGCCAGTCGGCTCCACTTCCATTTTAACAGAAAGTGACTGCTACTTGGCGAGAAACAAGAATGAACCCTCCTTACCTCGGAATCCGTCCTCCTGGCGTGTAAAATGGGAACTGCAGTAACCTCTGCCAACTCATCTTTCTTAGAAGGCACCCTGCCCGGGGGCTGAAAAACGAATGTGTGTGACTTGGCGCCAACAGACTCCCGCCCACTTTTGCTGGGCCCTGCGGCTGACATTTGAGGGTCTGGCTGACATTTGAGGGTCTGTGACACTTGGGCCCAAACTCAACTCCTCCACCTACAGCACAATCACGAGGCCCATGAAACCCAGCCCTGGCCAGTTCCCACTTGTTTGTTCTCCCAAAGGGCCTCCACATGAGGGCTCTGTGTGCGCCCCCAACCTCCCCGGGTGTCATGACACCCTGGGAAGGCCTGCCTCCCAGCTGTCTTCCGGGCCGGGGCCCACATCCAGCCTGGGGAGACTACCGGAGGGAAGGGAGAAGGAATGTGGTATCAACGCGAGCTACTGATGGACAGGCCAGGGTTCCTGGGGTCGGAAAATCCCCCGATACTGGGCTGCAGCCCCACCCGAGGCCCCTGTCAGCACCGCGTCAGGCAGCCCCTGGCCTGTGCACCCAGCACCCCTCCGAAGGCTCAGGGCTCCCCGCTCCTCAGGATACGGGGCGCTCTCCCTTCCCTCCGCAGCACCCGCCTCTGCCTCCCGTCCTCACCTGTTCACGGAGCACTTCCCTGCAGGTGCTTCCACTCCCGAGTGGGATGCTCGACAAGCCAGCGAGCAGGGTACCCTCCTTTCTGCCCAGACACGTGCACATCACAGCCACGGGCTGGGAAGGATGACATCTTCAAAAGTTTCAAAGAACCTACTTTATTCCTGATGGAGACCCTGGGTCTCTGCTCTCCATGGAGAAGGGGTACAGCGTGTCAGGGCACATGAGGAATCCCCTCCCCGCCAGCCCCCAGGCCGGGGCTCTCTCGGGAGCTGAGCCAGCCAGCTTTCCTGCACACACAGCGACTCCATGAGAAACAGGATTGTGGTACATGAGGAGTCTCCGTCTCACCCAGAGGGGATGCCCGCAGCAGCATCTCAGGCACTAAGGCAGGCTAGGGAGGGGGAGGGCTTCCACTGTAGGGGCTGGCCTCATGCGACATGGCTGCGTGGTCAGGGGCGGGCAGTCTCTGACCCTTAGCCAGGCTGCTTCCCGCCTCCCCTCGCTCCGGAGAGCGCAGACCGCGCCTGCACCCACACGTTCCCGGTGAGCGTCTCGGAGAGCCGGGCAGTCTGAGGTGGCACACAGCCCCGCTCGGTGCCAGGGCCTGGCTCCCGCACTGCTCTCTATACTGTCCAACAACAGGCCCGACTACAGAGAGCCAGAAGGTCAAGGCTACTTGAAGGCAAACACTGGCGCTGTGAGGGTCGGCCCTGTCAGGGGTGTGCAGGGGACAAGGCCAGAGTGTCCATCTAAGTTGCTTACGTGGGCCAGGACACTCGGTAAAATCCTAATGGGGTCGAGCCCAGTGCCGGGGCCCAAGGCCAAGTCTAAGGGGCTGGGGTCTCCTCTCCATCTCACTCTCCGTGTCCCTCGGGCTGAGGACCCGTGTCCCAGCAGCTCCCTCTCCGCCTTCCTGGCCCTCGGAAGGCCTGCCTTCAGGACTGGACCCACCTCCACAGCTCCCCTCAGGCCCTCCTGACAGAGGCCCTCGGTCCGGGGCCCCCCAGAAAACAGGTATCCAGGCCTCCCCTGAGGTGGGCGCCCCCACACGCAGGAACAGGGGAGGCTCCCTTAGAAGACCAGTCTGTGGAAGTCACCACCGCTGCCACCTGCAGGGCTGCAGCCCCCGGGAGAGCCTTCGTCCTCATCCTTGTCTTCATCGAAGCCCCGCCCCCAGCACGGGGAGCCAGGGAGCGCGGAGATGTAGGCCGCCCTGCTCCGGGCCTCCTTCTCCTGCTCCTGGAACAGAGGAGAGGGGGGGAGGAGGCTTAACATTCAGGCTCAGAAGTAAGTCCTCCCCCACTCCCTGCCCACGTCCCCCCAGGCACAGAGGAGCCAGGCTTCCACCCTGGAGGCGGCCAGCTCGGTGGGCAGCCAGGAGGAGGGACCCATCCTTCCGTCTATACCCAGGCTTCTGACTCATTCTTCCTGCTCCCAGCAAAACCCAGCCCTTGGAGGAAAGGAACTCATTCAGACCGACTAGCCTGAGGGCCTAAGGCAGCACCAGGAGGCAGGAGGCCCGGGGACCTCAGGGGTCACGTCACACACACAGGGACCCCTCTGAGGGCTTCCTGGCACCACCGCCCAGCTCACTGCCTCAGGCACTGGGCACGGGCTCTGCTGTGTCTGAGCTCCGCCTCCGGCTGAACGGAGCCTGCCTCTCTGGGCAGCCTGGTGGAAATGTACACGCGGCCCCGTTCCCCCCCGGGTGCCCCCTTCCCCACAGACACTCAGACTCCAGGTGCCGCTGTCCAGAGGCCCCGGGTGGTCAGAGCCCTGGTGTTCCGTTGCCCGGTATTTTGACATCGGCCTTGACATCAAAGAGTAGACAGGCGGCTCGCTGGGTAGAGAGGCCCCGGGTGCCCAGAGGCACTCTGTCCGCTCACAGAGCCCACGCTGCTCCATCGGCACTTCCAAACCTGAATCGATGCCTGGTGGTGCTCAGGGTCTGTCCCCCCAAAGTGAGGGGTGGTATGTGCCTGGTCCCCTGTCTGTCCCAGCACTAAGGGATGGATGGAGGACGCATGGAGGAAGGGAGAGGCTCAGAGGAGCAGTAACCCTGGGCCGGAGCTCAGAGCCGGGGTGGGGCCCTGCTCACCTGCAGGAACAGGATGTTGTCCCTGGAAATGGCTTCCATCAGGTCCTTGTGGAGGGCGGGCTCCGTCCGGCCTCGGGGGGAGCCCGGCTCCGCCTCGGGGCCCTCCCCGGGCGGCGGCCGCTGCCGGTAGAAGAGCACGTAGGCCGTGTCCTTGGGGAAGAAGGAGGTGACGTTGCTGACAGACTCGAAGGAGGAGAAGGACACGCGGGTGTCGTTGAACAGATACCACTGGTGCTCGGGCTCGGGCCTGTCGGCGCCCAGGGGCGGGGCGGGCCGGGCGCCCTCGCGGGCGTAGCAGTAGTAGTGGCCGCTCTCGGAGGACACCCCGGAGTGCACCACCACGCTGCACAGGTCGTAGGCCCGCGCGCGGCCCCCGGCCAGCGGCAGGCGCAGCAGCAGGGGCAGGGCCACGTCCTCCAGGATCTTGCTGCGCCGCAGGGTGCGCGGGTCGAAGGAGAAGCGCAGCAGCGTCAGGATGAGGTAGCGCGGGCCCTGGCTCAGCTCCACCACCTTCTCCGCCTCCTGCAGCGAGGCGCAGGGCTCGCAGTAGTAGCGGTTCTCCTCCTGCAGCCTCTCCGGGGACAGGAAGTAGTTGACCAGGTCCAGGACGGAGCGGGAGGCCTCCCTGGCGGGGGCGGCCCTGTGGGGGCCTGGGCCCGGGCTGGAGAATTCCTGCTTCTCCACCTTCTTCTCCTCTCCTACCTCTTTCTCCTCCTCCTCCTCCTCCTTCTCCTCCTCCTCCTTCTCTTTAGTCCTTCCTTCTTCTTCCTCTGTTCCTTTCTCCTGCTCTGCTTCCTCCTCTTTCTCCACTTTCTCCTCCTGGCTCTGCTCCCCAGGTTTCTGGGAGCCCAGGCCTCCCATGTCCAGGATGTTTGGGGGGACAGCCACTGTGATGCAGTGTTTCCTCTGCCTCTGAGGACCTGCCCGGCCTTGGACCTGGGCTGGGGGCGGTGGGGGAGACTCTGGGACTCCCACGCCCTCCGCAGGCAGCACCCCTGAGGCCAGGCGGTGGCGGTGACAGTGCTCAGGTGGGGGAAAGGCCAGAGAGAGGTCGGTGAAGGCCTCCTCCCTGGAGGAGACGTTGAGGCAGCGGAGACAGCATATCCGGGTCACGATCTTGCCCCCGAACATCCTCTCCACTGAGGTGGCGCTTGGGCCAGGGGGCTCCTCCGGCGGGGTCGGCGAGCTGGACTGCTTGAGCTTCTGGCAGATCCTGGTCCCCGTCTTCTCTTCTTCGTGCAGCCTGGAGCAGGGAGCAGAGCTGCCATACACACACGGTCCATTTCCACTGCCCTGGCCCCATTCATGCCGTCCACTCTACTCAGCTGGCCACACGTTCAGACATACGCACAGGCAGGAGTCGGCACAGGGAATATACAGACATGTGCCAAATGGCATCCATGCACTCACAAGCCAGCCACACACGCTATATATTTACTGCATACAGGCACACACACCTGCTACATGTGTATGTGCACACACACACACACACACCCCAAGACCTATGACAAACACACATGTGCACACTCAGGTGAGCACAGCACGGAGATATACATGCACAACACTCCCAGGTCACGGTTCAGGTCAGCGTCTCCCAAGCTCCCCTCACACAGCCCCAGGCCCCAAGCATACTACTTCTTGGATCCTTCCAAAGTGCAATGCAGCCTAGAGGGGCGGGCTCCCCCAAGCCTAGCCCCCCTTACCGATCCAGCAGGTACTTCAGGTACTCAGAGCAGTCCTGCTGGGCGCCGGGGCTGAACCAGGGTGTCCAGGATGCAGAGAGGAAGTTCTCCGGGGAAATGGCAGGCCGCTAGGACCAAGGCAGGGAAAGGCAGGGTCAGGAGCAGCAGGCTGCTCACCAACCTGCTCCACAGCATGCTGGGGGCTCTGTTCCCCCACTTCCCAGGCTCCTCACTGAAGGCCGCCCCTCCTAGTCCATCCCCGACCCTTTCCCTCCCACTAAGTCCACACAGCCTGGAGCGGGGCGTCAGCTTCACAGATGTGAGCAATCCTCAAGGCATCTGCTCTTCCCTGGGATTCCTCAGGCTTCCTCTCCGGGCCCCTTTTCTCTGCCATTTCCCCTGCCCTACACGCCTGCCACAGCTCAGCTGGAGTCCCAGGCTCAGAGGCACCTGCTCCATGAGCCCTCCGTCCAAGCACTGCCTCTGCTGTCTACAGGTGCAAATCCCCGGCCAGCCCCACCCCTCCCCCAGCCCCACCATGAGCTCCTAGAGGGAGGGACTTGCTCATCTCCCTACCCCTACCCCCACCCACAGGCCTTGCCTAACGCCTGGTCCATGAGGACAAGAGCCAGTGGACAAAATAAATAGGGTCCTCAGGGTCCCTGGCAATGTGAGTGTTCAAACGGGGCAGCAGATGGACTAACAACCCCTGAGCATCGGGCGGAATCGCAGGCAGAATGGGCACCCAGCACAGAGCAGCCTGAAGGAGGCACCTCCGCTCTGCCAGGTGAGGGTGCTGAATCAGCATCGGGGGCTTTGGCCGTGAACACAGGCAGCCGGACTGGGGCTCCTACACCAGGAAGTGGGGGCTCATGCCAGACGCAGCCTCCTCTCCACCACGCCCAGCCCCCTGCCCTCACCTGGCTGTGCTCCAGGAAGGCGAAGAGCCACTGCAGCTTGGTCATCAAGGGCTGGGAGTTGTTCTCAGTCAAGCGGAGCACACAGTGTCTGAAGCTTCCAAACAAAGCGGGGCACCAGGTAAGCCCCCAGGAGACCCAGAGCCCTCCCCCCCCCCTCCCCCGCCTCACCGCCCCCCCTCACTTAAAGGCAGAAGAGACACTTGCAGCCCAAGTCTGGGCCAGGGGCAGGGGAGAAGGAGCAGGTGAACAACTCAGGAGACCCCTGATGTCCCTTCTGAAAGCCCATGATGCCCAGATTCAAATGTCCTCCAGCCTATGTCCCAGGCTCTGCGGCATGCTCCAGGGCCCATGCCAGCATCCTCGCCAGCCGCTCACACCCCTGTCCTGTTTGCCTGGGGAATGGTGTTCACACCACTGAGAGCAGCAAACCTTGCTCCAGCCTCAGCTCACAAGTCCACTCAGCCACTGCCCCTCAGACCACTCCTGCCAATAAGTGAGGGGGCAGGGGCAGCGTGAGGGGCATGCTGGGAGAAGGGCACACAGGCTCCAGGTCTGACCCTATGGGGGCCGGGAAGGAGAGCCTCCTAACAACCCCACTCCCTAGACCCGTGGGAGGCTCCGGCCCAGCCTTGCTCCCGTCCTCACAAGCAGCTCAGGGCAGACAGACCAGGCATCTCTCCCATCTGAGCCCACTGTGCAGAGCAGAGCAACCGAAGTGGGCTCCGCTTAGCACCTGCCACAGGTCAGTTCGGAAGCTGAGCGCTCAGAAACCTGTGACTTACTTTGCTGTGACCACAAGGACCATTTTTCTGATAAGCCATTTTTTTGTATTTTGCAAAAATAATGGTCTGCAGAGGCTGGGAATTTAAAAAATAATAATAAAACTAGTTGGGCAGGCAGTTGGAGACCACAGCAGCAAACTGTTAGCAAGTCCTAGAGATCCAACCTCCTCCTACTGGACCCAACATTCAGAACAAACTGACTGGAGGTCATACCATAGAGCCTGAAGCACAGCTGACCTACTGGCTCACTGTGAGTTTTATTAATGAGGTCCAGGTGTGGCGTTGGCAAAAGAATATTTTAATAAATCAACGAACAGAAGGGAGAGCCCAGAAACAGACTCGCTAATCACTGACAAAGGAGCAAAGGCAGCAGAATGGAGCACAGTCAGTCTTGTCAACAAATGGAACTGGAACACCTGGACGTGCACATGCAAAAGAATGAATCTAGACACAAACACCTTACACCCATCACAGAAACAAACTCTAAATGGATCACAGAGCTAAATATAAAACAAAACTGCCAAAATCTTTGGTGAAAATCTAGATGACTTTGGGTATGCCAATGCCTTTTTAGATACAATAGACATGATACATAACAGAAATACTTGCTAAGCTGGATTTCATTCAAATTTAAAACTTCTGCTCCATAAAAGGCAGTATCAAGAGAATCAGAAGATTAGCCAGAGACTGGGAGAATACACTTGCAAAAGACATATCTGATAAAGGACTGTTATCCAAAATATACAAAGAACTCCTAACATTCAACAATAAGAAGAAAAAAAAAAACAAAACTGATTTTAAAAAATGGGCTAACCATCTTCACAGACATCTGACCAAAGTAGATATACAGATGGCAAGTAAGTACATGTTACTCCACCATCATATGTCACCAGGGAAATGCAAATGGCACAAGACACACCTATCAGAGTGCTCAAAACCCAGAACACTGACAGCCAACGCTGGGAAGGAGGCGGGGCAGCAGGCACCCATGCATTGCCCCTGGGAATGTAAGATGCTGCAGCCCCTTTGAATGTCAGTTCAGCAGTTTCTCAAAAATTAAACATTCTATTTGAGAACCGCCCAAAGTCTAGCTGAACAGAACTCCTACAACTAAGGACAGAAAGAAGCAGCTACGTAGAGACAGACAGAAGGGGTGGAGATGCAGAATGGGCTGGTCCCACACCCACATGTGGGGGTTAAGAACAGGCGAGATCTCTCAGCTGTGTAGGGCCCCCTGAGGGATTCTAGAACCACACCAGGACTCCAGCCCAGGGTTCCAGTGCCAGGAAGAGAAGTCCCCATAACTTCCGGCTGTGAAAACCAGCAGGGACAGGGTGACTGGATCCCAGGCAACTTTTTAAAGGGCCTGCTCATTTTAAGATCAGGAACAAGAAAATGATGTCTACTTTCACCACTTTTAAATCCTTGTCATACTAATCAGACAAGGAAGAGAAATAAAAGCATCTAAATTGGAAAGGAAGAAGTATAAGTGTCATTAGTAGCAGACTAGAGGCCCAGAGCACAAAATTTGTCCACTCAGGGGCTAGCGTGGGGGAGAGGAGGTGGTGGCTTGTGGCTGAGCACAGCTTCCCCTGTGGAAACGCACTGACCACCAGGGGGCAGCTCCTGCGTTGATGATCATTTAGTAAAATATACATATCCAATAATGTTGTACATCTGAAATATATTAATATCAATTATCCTATATAATATTAATAAAAGGCTAATATGCAAATTGACCAAATGGCAAAATGACTGGTTGCTATGATGTGCATTGACCACCAAGGGACAGATGCTCAATGCAGGAACTGCCCCCTGGTGGTCAGTTTGCTCCCACAGGGGGAGTGCGGCTCAGCCAGCAGCTGGGCTCATGGCTAGTGAGCACAATGGCAGTGACAGGAGCCTCTCTGCAGGCGGGCAGTAAGGAGTGGGGACCCCAGACTGTGAGAGCCCTGGACTGCAAGTGGCAGGCAGACATCCCAAAGGGGGTCCTGGACTGCGAGAGGGCACAGGCCAACCTGAGGGGACCCCCCTCCCCAGTGTAGGAATGCCATGCACCGGGCCTCTAGTATCTTAATAAACAATGATAAGAGCAACTTCTTTCAATAGCAAAAAGAAAAACACTCTCCACAGAGTAAAAAGGCAACATATTCAGAATATACAAAGAACTCCAAAACTCAACCAAAAAAAAATAAACCCAACTCAAAAATGGGCAATGGACTTGAATAGACATTTCTCTAAAGAAAATATACAAATGGCCTGTAAATAAATGAAAAGATGTTCAACAGAATTAATCATTAGGGAAATGCAAATCAAAACTATGATGATACCACCTCACCATATGATGGCTATTATATAAAAAATAATAATAAAAAAAAAAAAACAGAAAATAAGTGATGGCAAGGATGTGGAGAAGCTGGAGCCCTGTGCACTGCTGGTGGGAAGGTAAATGGTGTGGCCACAGTGGAAAACAGTATAGTGGTTCCTCAAAAAGCTAATATGCTTACTTTATGACCCAGCAATTCCACTTCTGGGTATATAATCAAACGAATCAAAATCAGGGTCTCAAATAAATATTTGTATAACCAGGTTCATAGCATCATATTCACAACAGCTAAGCCATGGAAGCAACTCTAATGTGCACTGACCCATGATCAGATTACCAAATGTAGTTTATACATAGAATAGAATATTAATCACACTTTAAAAGGAAAGAAATTCTGCAATATGCTGCAATATGAAAGTACCTTGAAGACATCTGCTAAGCGAAATAACCCAATCACAAAAAGACAAATACTGTATGATTCCACTTATATAAGATACTTAGAATAGAGACAAAAATCAGTGGCAGGGAAAGGGAAAATGAAAATAGGGAAAGTTATTGTTTAATAGGTATGGAGTTTCAGATTTACAAAATGAACAATTATGGGGATGAATGGTGGTAACGGTTGCACAACAATGTGAATGCCTTTATACCACTGAATTTTAAAAAGTCTATGATGGCTGAAACCGGTTTGGCTCAGTGGTAGAGCGTCGGTCTGTGGACTGAAAGGTCCTGGGTTCGATTCCGGTCAAGGGCATGTACCTTGGTTGCGGGCACATCCCCAGTACAGGGTGTGCAAGAGGCAGCTGGTCGATGTTTCTTTCTCGTCGACGTTTCTAGCTCTCTCTCTCTCTTCCTTCCTCTCTGTAAAAAAATCAAAAATATATATATATTTTTAAAAAGTCTACGATGATAAATTTTATGTTATGTGCATTTTAACACACACAACAAAGAAAGGAAATTGGAGGGGGGACAAAGATCTATTTCTGTAGATAGCCACTGGTAATAAAGACTTTGTATAATAGCCGAAACCGGTTTGGCTCAATGGATAGAGCGTCAGCTTGGGGACTGAAAGGTCCCGGGTTCGATTCCGGTCAAGGGCATGTACCTTGGTTGTGGGCATATCCTCAGTAGGGGGGTGTGCAAGAGGCAGCTGATCAATGACTCTCACTCATCGATGTTTCTAACTCTCTATCTCTCTTCCTTCCTCTCTGTACAAAATCAATAAAATATATTTTTTTAAAAAAGATTTTGTATAATAAAAGGTAGTGGAGAGGGTGTCTAATACCAGGGTAGGGGGAGCTCTACTCCGGAAGACACAATCTATCCATGGAACCGAGGAGGAAAGTCAGTGGTGCCCAACCCAGAGCAGAACTCCTTCTCACTGCAGCCCCATCCCTGGAGCCCCACCTCCAGTTCCCACCTAGTCTCCACCTAAGGCTTTGGCAGTGGCCTGGAGACCTCTGGGCCCCTCACCTGTCCTCCATGTATGCACAGTCCTCAACCAATTATGACAAAAATGAAAAACAGGACTCACCTCCTCCAACCCCCACCCTTATCCTCCTCCTCCTCCTCACACGCCCAGGAGAACAAATGAGAGAAGCAGGAACAGAGAGAGAATTCAAAAGCAGCACCTACTCAGAAGCCATGAACAAGGCCTGAAGGATGCTATTCACGTAGCAGGTGTTGCCCAGATTGATTAAGCCAATCTTGCCCGTGTCTGACTTGGCCATGAGTCGAGGGTAGAAGCCAGCCAGCTCGCTCTTCTGCGAGGTCCAGGCATCCTGCCCCAGCAGCTGCTTGATGCGGTCCTCGTTGGGGACATGGAGGTCCTGAGGAGGAAACGAGGCGGCAGGAGAAGGCTCCTTTGGGAAGCCTTGGGCTACAGCCTCCCCCACACCCTCCCCAGCATACGGCCCCACATACAATATGGTCTAGAGATATGTATGAACAGCCTCCTCCTTTCAAAGTGAGGTTACTCCGACCTGGTGTGCGTCTGGCGCTCTAGACTCTCACAGTGCCCACACACAGTGATGCGCCTGCCTCACCGTCCACTTTTAGGTTTGCAGAGTCCTCTTTTCTGGATTAAGTCACTCCCCCGGACCTTGGTCCTACAGTCAGGACAGTGGGAGGATCCCGGAGGTCTGAGATGGGTCCTTGGTCACAGGCAAGATATTGGCAAGCTTTCCCACTCATTACCCTTTTTCATATTAAACAGCTGCATCTAAAGAATGCTACCAAGCACTGGTTCTAATAATGATATGTTTTAAAGAAAAACACACCTAAGCAAATGTAGAGTTGCTGAGGAGATAAAAGCAGCATTCATTATAGTTCCTCTAGCCCTGCTCTTATTATCCAGGGCCCCAGAGCTCCAAACCAGCTCAGCACCGAGAGTACGTGGCTCTGGAGGTGCACCCTGTGGCCGCTGCAGCAGGCTGGGCTCCAGCACTGGTTCACTATTCCTGCTCAGTCATTTGTCAGGATCACTTATCGGGTCATTTATCAGATTAGTCAGCCACCGCTCACAGATAATTTTTAAAAAGTAGGAGCTGCGAGAGGTGAAATAAGAAGACATGGGCCCAGTTTGGCCTCCCTTGGTCCATTCTTTTTTCTTCCTATTATCTATCCCCTTCCCAATCCCCACTCCACACACAGCACAAATAAATAGGAGCAGAAAAGCAGGTAGTCAGAACCCCGGGCATGCTCACACATGCACAAAGACAATGCAAAAACAGCCACACATTAAAAAAAAAAAAAAAAAAAAAAAAAAAATCCAATGCCATTTCCCCAAAGATGGTAACTTTGTCCTCTGAGGAAAATAAAACAAGAATTTCCAAATACTAGTAACTCTCAAGCTCCTACTGTTCCTAGAAATTTACATAGGACAGCTCCCTTAGCAAGGACCACATCTCCCAGAGAAACTGCCATGACCTGATACAACTGTCTGTGCCAGAGAACTTTCCAGAATGTATTTATAAAGGAGCCCAGATAGAAAGAAGGGTGTACTCATAGAACACATGTGAAAGAATCTTATAAACAATAATATCCTGCAGGTTTGGTTGGTACCAACTGGCTTGTACCAGGGGCTATTCAAAACCATCATCATATTATATAAAAGTAGCACATCTTCCTGGAGCTACATCCTCTAATATTCAAGTAAAACCCGTGTTTATGTCAAAACAAACCCTAATATATAAAAACCCTGGGTCCTAACCACCAGTAACAACCAAGGCTTGACCAACCGAAAGTCAGTCCTGCAGTCAGTGCTGGGTTGCCACATAAGTGAGTGCACGTATGTACTGCCTTTAGCACTGTGACTGGCACACACCTGTTACCCAGGGAACACCGTCTGGCTTCTCCCTGCTCCTGGCTGACCCTCAGAGGTTTTCATAAGCTGCTTAGATCAGGCTGGCAGGGGAGGGCCACTGGGGGAAAGATCAGGCCAGCAGGGGAGGGCACAGGAGACAGCCAGGAACCAAATGGTGGGGGCGGTCACAACCTGCAGTATGTCCCTGAGCAAGGCACAAAGTGACACTCTTGTCAGAGCGGCGTGAGGGAACGGTGGGGGTTGTCACTCACCTTGATGGCCTCCATGACGGGCTCATACAGGTCCGGGAAGCCCGGGAACCGGAACACCATGCAGTGGACCAGCTCTGCCAGCTGCTCCAGGCAGCTGGCCCCCGAGTTGGAGTCCTCCTTGAGCAGAGAGGCCACCACGGGGGGGATGTGAGGAAGGAGCTGTGAGAGCAGAGGGGGGTCAGGCTCAGCACCAGCTTACCCACCTAAGACAGGATGCTGCTCACTGCTGATCACACCCACCTGACCACTGTCCCCCTTCCCACACATGGGGCTCTGAGCTCTGCACGCAGGTGAGCCCCCCTTACCAGATCGGTGGATACCCTGCCTCTGTCTCTTCAGCCATAAAATGGGATCAATAATCCCCTCCTCACAGTTGAGGGGAAGCCTGAGCCCAAGCCCTGGCTGTTCAGCCTCAGCCAACTGACCTGCCCGAAGGCCTGAGTGACCATGGCTTTCCCCCCCCCCTGGGAGTGGTGCTGGGCTGCCATGTGGACGGGGGTGGACAGCCTGACAGAGCGGCCACCTCGGGACAAACACCAGCATTCTTTCACCAAACACACTTGCCAAGCACTTCATCCTCACAGTGATTTTATGGGCAGTGATTACGGTCCCCGCTTTCTAGATGAGTTAGTCGAAGTCGGAGAGGTTATACAATCACCGGGGACTTCGGCGGGGCTTACGGAAGAAGCTGGTGTCTGGATCAGGTCTGTCTGAATCCCAAGCCCATTTCTCCCCTCTGTGCTACAGAGTGTGAACTTCCAAACCCATGGAGGTGCCACCCCAGAATGTCCCAGAGATGGACAGAGTCAGGCCGCCAACCGGGAGCAGGGGAGCCCAGGAAAGGGATGGAAAGAAACCAACATCTGTCAAGTCCCTAGAATGTGGCAGGCTCTTAACAAATGTCACCTCATCGAACCCTCTCCCACCTGGGGTCACCTCTGTCCAGGCTGCGAGAGGTAAGTGCCTGACCCGAGGTCACATCTGGCAAAGAGCAGAGCTGGGACTCAACCCCACACACCCAGCCTGGATCCTGCTTCTCCCATTGCAGCAAATGGGGGCCATCTGAATCTACGGCCCCAGCTGCAGGTCCACAGAGGGAGGCAGGGGGAGGCCACCCCGGGCCACAGGCTGTCTTTCCCCAGGAAGGGCCCGGAAGCCAGCAGAAAGGGCCTGAGCTGGAGGCCAGGCCACCTGGGTGCTGGCAGGCAACAGGGTACAGAAAGGGCACTGGGTCAGGAGTCAGCCCCACTGGGCTAGGATCTGGCCTGCATTGCTCCCTAGCTGTGTCTGGGAAGGGAGTGAACCTCCGTAACCTTCAGTTTCCGCAACTGAAGAGTGGAGGAGAGAATGACAGAACCTCTTTCTTGGGGCTGTCCCAGGAGTCAGTGAGCGCACATATGTACTGCCTTAGCACTGGGACTGGCACACAGCTGACACCCAGGGAACATCAGCTGTGACCATTCTAGGCTTGTCCCTCATCTAGGGGCTCATGGGGAAGCCATAAAAATCCTCCGGTCTCAGTTCCCTATGAGTAAACTGGGGTCTCAAGTCCCCTCCAGTCCTGATATCCGGGACTTCAAAGGCTGAGGCTTCCAGCACTGACCCCTTGATCCCCGGCAGAGATAGTTGTGTGGCCTCTGGCCAGACCGATACAGGACGCTGTGGCGATGGCCCTTACCAGGTGGAAGGCCTCGTGGGAGTGCTGGAAGGTCAGGAGCATGTACTTGAGGACGGATAAGGCGGGTCCCCGGACAATGGGGTACAGAAGCTTGGAGAAAACCTGGAAGAGAGTCCCTTGTCAGGAGTCCCCCAGGCCTAGGACACCCCAGACCAAGTGCAGCCACAGGCCTGAGGGGGACCCCAAAGTTGCAGCAGCAGACCCATGCCAGAGCAAGAACAGGGAGGCACCCACTGGGTGGACAGACAGATGGTGAACTGGGCAGCAAGATAGCTAGCTATCTGGTGGATGGATGGACAGACACACCAAAAGTAACGTATACATGCTTGAGTGAGCAATCAGAGGAAAGGATGGGGAACCTGAGGCTCAGAGAGGGCAGTGAATTGTCCCAGGTCCCAGAGGGCTTGGGTGGGAGCCCCAGGGCTCTGCCTCTCAGACTGGAAAGGCCCCTGCCAAGACACTAGCAGGGAGGGACGTGAGCAGGGGCCCACCAACCTTCTCAATTTTGGCGAGTGAAACCTCAATCAAGATGCTGAACTTCTTAACAGCAGCCAGGCCCTTCAGCAGTGCAATGATCCACTTGTCAATGTTCTTGCCCAGGGGCCAGGACACCCAGTCGATCATCCTGGTGAGGGGAATGACGGTGACACAGGGACCAGGGAGGCCCAAATGCCTGGGTGGTGGCGGCCCGGGAACTTGCCATAATGTCTTGAGGCCCCACAAGGACTCACTCACCCTACACAGGGCAGCCCTGGGCTATGTGAGATGATCAAGCAAACGAGCCCAGGACAGGCAGCTGGCAGAGACTGGGGCTCCCAGCCCAGCTGGAGGGGAGCCTGGCCCTCTCAGCACCCCAAATACACGATGGGCTGTCTCTGCCTGGACCCTGGAGCCTAATGGAAGGAGAGGCACTGGCCCCGGGGCCAGAAGTTCTAGCTCCAGCAAACCATGGCTTGTGAACTGGAGCAAGTCACTGACTCTCTCAGCCTCAGTTTCGTCCTCTGTGAAATGGGGGCAATGCCTACCAACAACAGGGCGGGATGGATTAAAAGAGATAATAGCAAGCACTTATGTAGTATTCACTCTGCATCAGGCACTGCTCTACCTGCCTCACATGTATCAACCCACCTGACTCCCATAACACAATATCTGTTCACGCTGAGCACAGCGCTGCCACCTAGCAGGCTCCCAGTTAAATGCCACCATTATTATTTTTATAATCAGTAGCACGTACTACAGAGAGGTAGGGCAATGTGGAAACAAAGTAACTGTAACTACGGTAATGACAGTTTCTGGGCACTTTATATGCATTAACTGATTTTTATCCTCAAAACAATCTTATAAGATGGGTTCAGTTATTCTTTGTTTTATAGATGAGGAAGCCGGAGCACAGAGAAACTGAGTAAGCTGCCCACAGTCACACAGGCAAGAAGTGGTAGAGCCAGGATTTGAACTTGGGCAGCCTACCTCTACCACTCACCCTTTTTAGCCACTAACGACAAGGAGTCCAGGGAGACCCAGCGGAGACAGTGGACCTGTGCACGAGTTTGGAAAGAGTGGCAGGGGCGCATGCCAGTGGACGGGATCTGCAGAGCCGAAGGCCTGCAGGCAGGAGGGCAGGCTGCATTTTCTGGGCCCACTGGACGAGCAGGTGTGGCTAGATCAAGGTGTGAAAATGTTCAAATGAGGTGAGGGGCGTGCAAGAGCTCTGTGAGCTGGAAAGCATCCAGACTCCCTTTATCATATTTGCCAAACTCATAAAACATTTTGTAAAAGTACTTTCACCTTCTCATCTGACCCCATGGAAGCCTGACAATTTCTTAGACCATCACCCACATCTGCTATCACAGAAGGGGAAACTGAGGCTCAGAAAGTTCACTGACCTGACCAGGGCCTCCCAGCTGGTACCCAGCCTGGGAGCATCACTGAGGCAGGGCCCTCTGTGTCTCCCACACCCAGCCCTGGGCCAGACACAAAGCAGAGCTCGAGAAAAGATGGATGAAATGAATAAGCGTGAGGGAGTGGGCCCTTAAGCACTAAATCCAACCCAGCAACCCCACCCAGGAGAAGGGGCTTCTGGGAGGGAGAGAGATCTGGCCAACCCTGGGCCCTCAGCCCACCTGCTGACGGCAGTCAGCATCTGAGAGTCTGTCACACTGTCGTCATTGCTGAGGTTCCGGACGACGCCCTCCATGAGCTCCAAGGGGAGGTGCTGGACCACGCTGGCCAGGGCACAGGACGGTGGCTCCTCCTCTGGAACAGGGGGCAGGGTGGGCTTAGCAGCGCGGGCGTGCCCCTCACCTCCCCATCACGCTCTGTTCTCGTGCTGCCAAGGACCTAGGCTGGGCCTCTGCAGAGAGGACATCCAAGCCGCCTCCTCAGCATCGCAGCCTCCGATTGATTCACTCTTAACTCACTCCTCACACCGTTCCTGGCTTTGCTCTAGGCCAGCCCTGTGCCAGGCACACAGAAAAGCACTGGCCTTCTTTGCAGGCGTACACACCAGGCCTTTAAGAAGGGGTCACACCGAAGTTGGCGAGAGCAAGGAGGAGGCATAAACAGACGTGGGGAGAGAGGGAGGACATTCCGTCTGGAACCACACAGGCCAGGCAAGAGGTCAGAAGAATGTTTTGTTATCCAAGTTTGCTGTCCAACTGTACAAGGACCCAGATTCCTACACAGCCAGCCCTGGTTCTTACTCCTGCCACGGCGATGACCTTCCTTTTCCCTACACAGTCCTATCACTAGGGAAGGCACAGGTCTTATTTCAGTCATTTACACTATCATCCAGGTTCCAGTTCTCAATGGATGGCCAAGATTTTACATTTCAGAGTTGACACCTACAGGTTCTATTGCATCTCAAGACCGTCCCTCTGCCGGCCAGATCACCTTGCCCCTGCTGCTCGGTGCTGCCCACCTCTCCCAGATCTGGCTCAAAAGTCACCCCTTCCAGGAAACCCACCTGGCCCAAAGGGCATCATGTCCTCCTTCCTATTGTCTTGCTCAGCCCTTATTAAGATGACCACACGTCCTACTTTTGGCGGGACAGTCCCGATTTTAACAATTTGTCCCGCGTCCTGAGGCGTTTTTGTTTGTTTGTTTGTTTGTTTTTTAAAGTCCAAAAGAGCCAAAACCGGTTTGGCTCAGTGGATAGAGTGTCGGCCTGTGGATTGAAAGGTCCAGGGTTGGATTCCGGAGCGTCGGCCTGTGGATTGAAAGGTCCAGGGTTGGATTCCGGTCAAGGGCATGTACCTTGGTTGTGGGCACATCCCCAGTAGGGGGTGTGCAAGAGGCAGCTGATCCATGATTCTCCCTCTTCAATATTTCTAACTCTCTATCCCTCTCTCTTCCTCTCTGTAAAAAATCAATAAAATATATATATATATATATATATATATATATATATATATATATATATATATATTTTTTTTTTTTTTTTTAAGTCCAAAAGATTTAAAAGATTTTTTCCAAAAATCGGGACTTTTTTTAAAACGCCGCGGGACGTGGGACAACTTATCAAAAGCGGGACGTCTGGTCACCTTACGCTAAGTCCTCCTTCTGGCCAAATTAACCTGGGCTCCATCTTTTCCCACACCGGGCAGTCTGCTCCCCGCGCGCCAGCACCCACCACAGGATGACAGGACAGGCCTTGCAGCAGGTGCTCCGCATCGGTCCGCTAACTAAACACGGGAACCTCACTCTCCCACCTGTGCATCCGCTCGTGGCACACACACACCGCTCCGCACCCGGGCACCCCACGCAGAAGCATGTGCACGAACGGGCACACACTCGGGACCTTGGCACACACGAGCTCCCTCCAGCCCCAACCCCTGCCTCCGCGCACACCCACCTGAGCCAGAGATGACGGCGAACAGCTCCTTGAGGCAGGGCAGGACGGCGGCGGGCTGCGCGCGCCACAGCTGCGCCAGGAGCCCGCTCACCTGCTGGGCCTGCTCCAGGAACTCCACGGCGCCCTCCTCGCCCTCGGCCGGGCAGCGGAAGCGGCCGAGGCAGCGCACCAGCTGCCGGCAGAAGAGCAGGCGGTGCGGGCCCTCGGGCAGGCAGTGCGGGTGGCGCGCCAGCAGCCGGGCCACCTGCGCGCAGGCCGCGGGCCCCGGGCGCTCGCACACGGCGCGCAGCACCTCGCGCCGCAGCAGCGCGCTCACCTCCTCGGCCGCCGGCCCCGCGGGCAGCAGCTGCAGGCCGAGCTGCACGCAGGCGAGCGCGCGGGGGCCCGGGGGGCCGGCGCCCCCCTGCAGCAGGCGCAGCACGCGGCGCGCGCTGAAGAACTCGGCGAACGCCTCGGGGTGGTGGCGGCCGGCGACGTGCAGCAGCTGGCAGCCCGCGCGGCGCGCCAGCTCGTCCGCGCCGTCCACGTAGAGGCGCGCGCCCAGCGCCAGCAGCGCCAGGCACTGCTCCCGCTCCAGGGGCCGCCGCGCCGCCTCCAGCACGCGCCGCACCAGCCCCTGCTTCACGCTGGCCGGGTACGAGGACAGCACCACGGCCTCCAGGATCTTGTCCATGGCGGCCGCGCTGCAGTGGGACGGGGAGCAGGTCACACTCTGTCGGGCTGGAAGTAAAGCACAATCCTGACATATAATAAGCCCCAGTGAGTTGCAGTGACTGCTGATGGGCATCTTTTATCTCACAAAGGTAACACCTGAGCCCTCCCCTTCTTCCCACCCCTTTGCCCTTCTCTCCCAGGCCTCCCTAGCAACCTCATCCACTATTTGGGACAAGTAGGAGCTACCATAGATCTAGAAGCCTCGTTCAGGATCTTGGCCAGTCATGTCCTGTGGGAAGAGATGAGATGGGGCACGGGTGCACATATTATACCTCTGGGGAGGGCCAACAAGGCTTCCCGAGATCCCCTGCACACTTGACTCTGTCCCCAATCAACTTCTTGCTCTTTCTCAAATGATCTGCACCATTGATAGATTCCTCTTCTGTGTTTGCTGTGCGTTTTGCCTCAAACGTCCTATTTCCCACCATCTCCACTTCCACCGCGCACGCACACAGCCAAGCACGTTTCTTTTTCCTTCACAGCCCACCGCAAACACCCTGTCCTTGGTGAGAACAGCCCTGACCTCTGGGCGTGAATTCATCGCTCACCCTCCATCCCACCTGTGGCCTTTTCCTCCATTACAGCTTAGGAATACCCCAATTAACTTAATAACAATGTACCTACCTATATAGTTTCAGTTTAAAAAATTTGGCTCTCAAAAGGAAGTTCAATCGTGGTACTGTTGATATTTGGCTCTGTTGACAATAAGTTTGCCGACCACTGTGCTAGGCACAAGGAAGTGCTCAGAAAACGTCAGTCCTCTTCACTTCAGAAGCAAAGTTATTGCCCTTAGGAGCTTCCGGTCTGATGGTGGAGGCAGAGGTATTGGCAAAGAGTGCCGAGGCAAGGTAAAATCTCAAAAGGCCTTTGAAGGCATTTTTAAAAACTGGTCTCCCTTCAGCCCTGGGCCTCTATTTCCTAGGCAGTGGCTGTGACCAACCTCCTTTAAAGACCATCCCCTAAGCCCCTACCCCTGCCCTCCAGGCTAGTGAATTTAGTATGTACCGTAATGTGCTTTCAACCCAGGATGCCAGGTAATTTGGGTACAGGAATACGCATTTGATTGCACTTTACTTAATTGCTTCACAGATGTTGTGTATTTTACATATTGAAGGCAAGACCCTCCACCAGCAAAAATATTACAACTCGCTTTGTTGTGATACTGGCTTTATGGCAGTGGTCTAGGACAGAACCTGCAATCCCACCAAGGTACGTCTGCACTCAGGCAGCGAAGGAGAAACCCAGGTGATCAGATAGTGGAATCACCTGTGGAGAAGGGGGACTTGGGGCTGGCAGAACTTGGGAGTTCTGGGGAGAGGGAAGTCTCCAGAAGTGGAAAGTCAGACTAGGAATGATGAGGTCGGCATTTCAGTGTGACCTTGAGCAAATCTTATTCTAGTCTTGCAACTCATTGTGTGACCTCCAGTAAATTCCATCGTGAGCCTCTTTTCTCTTCTGTAAAATGGGGGTAAATGATATCAGGTGGAACCACATGAAAGTGAAGGATCAGATATTGGCAATTTCACATTGTTCTACCTGATACCACCCGCCTCAGGGGGTTTGTGCCTGGAAGCCGAGCGTTCAGTCAGTGGAGCCATCCTGTGAGGGCTCTGAGCTCCAAGGCCAGCCCTGTATAGTCCATGGCCTGGCTGCTCCGGGCAAGCCTGCCTACCTTCCCTGACTGTCATGCAAGCAGTCTGGGGTCACTATGGCCACCAACAAACCCACTCACGAATGTCTCCAGTGCATTCATGCAAAAAGTTCTAAGGGCTTGAACCTCATCTGACCCCATCACGGACCACAGAAGGGAGGCAGGACAAGGCTTGCTATCCCTGTGGCATGAACAGGGAAGACGAGGATCAGCCAGGGAGAGGAGCACAGCCTCAGCAGGTGAGATGAGAACTATACTCGGCTTCCCTGGGGGAGGAGAAGCTGACGCTCTAGGGGAGGTTGGATTTCTCCTCCAGGCGCTGGACCGGGAGAGGCCTGTGGACTCTGGCTCTGACCCAGGAGACAGCTGCCCACGCCAAACAGCAGCAAATGGCAGCCGTGACCTCCCTCACAAGAGCCTGCACTACCATCACGAGACCCAGGTTCTCTGCTTCAGAATCACCAGGTGACCTTGGGTGAGTCCTGGCCAGGCCCCTCAGCCCTCTCACCTGGAAAATGGAGACCATTCCACCTATCACTGCAAGACGGGACAAGGTATAAAAGATGAAGGCTGGGGCAGTCACGAGTCTCCTCCTGGGCCACCTGTTCCGGGCCACTGCAGCAAAGCCAATATTGCAATAAAGCAAGTTGCAACATTTTTATCTTCAATTTGTAAGATACACAACATCTATGAACTACAATGAAACAAAGTTAATAAAACAGGTATGCCTGTACCTGAATTATGTGGCGTGAGTCATGAGTCTACTCCTGGGGCACACTGTCAGGGAAGGAGACAAGGAGACACTCCAGATCTCACCGATTCTACAAGGAATTTCATCCACTAGTCCTCACTGCCAATTTTTGTTTGCAGTCTCTCCCCGAGCCCCAGCCCAACTCAAGATGAGCTCCTCTCTACTTCTTGCCTGGACTAGTGCAAGGCGCTCCAACCAGCCTCCTCATTCCCTCCTCAGTCTGTCCTCCAATAAAGGCTTCTAATCCAGCCCAGCCACTGCCCTCCAGGTGGCCCCTGTGGTTGGTGTTCTTTCACCTTCTCTCAGCCTCTGAATACCAAATGGAAGATGACCACCTTCCTGCCCCTTAGCCTTTCTCAGCCAATGCTGCTGCTCCTACCCAAGCCCTGGGCTTATTCCTCTCACTGCTGGCAGGACAGCCTGAGAGTCCCAGCAATAGCCAGCCCTCTCCGGGCCACACAGTTAGCACATGGGAAAATCACAACCCCGCGCCTGGAAGCACAGGTCCCTTTATCCAACCCAATGTATTTCTGTTGAGTATTGACTGGTTTCTATTCCTACATGGCGGAGCCTGACTCATCTCCATCATCCCCAAAGCAGAGTGTGTGTGTGTGTGTGTGTGTGTGTGTGTGTGTGTGTGTGTGTGTCTACAATATCCTGCCCCGCCCCCATACCCTGAGCCCCAATTCAGGCTTCCTCATCCCTCCCTGATCTGTTCCATCCACCTACCGACATGGCCAGATTAATCTCATTACATGGTAAGCTGTCATGCCCCTGCCAGAACTCTCAAGGCTCCCAGTGCTTTCAAGGCCCAAACTCCTGAGCCTTGACATTCAGCCCTTTCTGTGACACTCAGCTGATGTGGGACACGGGTAGAAATTAACGTGGCAGAGGCTGTACAGTAGTGAATCTAGAGGAATTTGAGCAGTGGGCCATACCCTCTCTGCTGAAAAAGGGCTTCCCCTCTTCTCTCCTGGCAAATTTTGACTGTCCTCCCATGCCCAGGTCACATGCCCCTCCTCTGGGAAGCCTTTCTGAGTCCCCCTGCAGTTCACGTCTTTGAGCTCTGGCTTCCCAAGGCCCTGTTCACTTCTCTCATCCCTCAGCAGTGTCACTGGATTCAGTGTCTCTCCCCCACCCAGGCTGGAATTCCCTTTGGTAGGAGATAGATCCAATCCCCCTTGTCTATGTCCAGTGCCCAGCACAGGATCAGGCACAGAGGAAAGAGTGCCAAGTGACCAATGAGAGGCATGTGACAGCAAGATGAGCTAAAACTAAAGATATGACCAGAAGAGCACCTTCTAGGGACTGGCCTAACCCTTGGTCCAGTCACTGCCCCACATCTGTCCAGGTCTGGTCTTGTATTTCTATAACTCTGAAATCTTAAATACCAGCCAAGAACACCCCTACAGAAGGCACTGGGTGGGTCTAAGTGGGGCTCTAACCATTCTAGAAAGGATTCAAACAACCAAGCTAAAGAAAAAGGAAAAAATATATATATATCTAATCCTGGTTAACCCTCAGGTCAAAAGCTCACAGAATCTCATGAGACAGGGGAGGGAGCTTCACAAAGGTCTCACCTCTCCCTACCCCAACAGCACAGTAGCCCCTGCAAACCCCAGCTCAGCACCTAAGAACTGAGTAGCCCATTTCCTTTCTCTATGATCCTCATACCCATTTTACCTCCTTTGACTCCCTGGTGGGCACCTGGATGTCCCCCCACAAAAAAAATCCCTCCAACCCTGCTCACTCCCTTTCTTCCTGGGATCTCTCTCTGTATTTTTAAACAACTTCTATCCAAGGAAGGAGCCCCTCGTCTGGGCCACCAAACTATCTCCTGGGGGAAAAGGTGAAAAGAGGTTTTACTGGGGGGGGGGGGGGGAGCTCTTACTGAAGAGGTATGGGCGGGGAGGGGGAGTGGGGGGAAGGGAAAGAGGGTGGGAGCATATATTCCTTTTTCAGGAACCCACCACACTCACCCACCTCCATTGGGGGCCACCCCTCACATACTCTGATGGCCTGTCCCCATCCCCAGGTTTTCTGGGAGTGAACCAGGCTGGCATGTCAGGGTCTCCTGTTCGCTGCCCTCTAATAGAGGGGTTACCCTGGGCCGGATGCTGAGAATAGCAGAAGCGGGGAGGTGATCTCTTGACACCTCCTCCGTTCTCCCCGTTTGTCCCGGCTCGGCATAACCTCTCCCTTTAATTATACCAGTGCACCTGCTCCCAGTCCAGGCTGGAGCTGTGGACCCAGGAAAGGCCGGCAAGCTTCATGGTACTGGGCACTGGTGCCCTCAGCCCTGAATGGGGCAGGGGCTGCATCACCTTCACACACAATTGATGGAAAAATTTGAGGCCCAGAGAGGGAAAGGTATTCACCCAAGGTCACACAGCGAGGCAAAGATGCACCAGACCTCCTGCCTGTCAACATCGGCCCCTTGGAGCCCTACTTGCTCTAACTGTCAGGGTGCTGACACTCCCTCCCCCCACCCCGCTCACCTGGCCCCAGCCCCCTTACCTCTGTGACCCCAGTGAACCTGCCTCAGGTCAGGCTCCTG